TTTTACAGACTTTAAAAAACTACTGTTATTTATATAGCACATACAATACGAACTATTCCTCCGTGGTTTATTGTATTTAATTTCAAACCAAGGCGCTGTTTGACAGGATTTTGGCTTTCAATGATAGAATAATTAATATTAAAACCAGTAGTCCCAAAATATTGAAATAACTACCATTCCTTGTACCTTCACACCGTAATAGACATACCGAGGGGTAAACCACTGAATTGGTCAGATAATCAGTACTACGAAAGTAACAAGTTTGTAGTGAACATAGATGCGGGAAACAGTGATTAGAAATCTGAAGAAGAAATACAAGCTAGACTTATGAACGGTAATAGAATATATTATGTATGCTATAGTATTAGCGATTGTTTGTCTTTATTCACTTTCCCAGAGACAACCCAGCGAGACGTGTAACCCAATGTATTTTTTTTTTGTTCGGTAAAAGTTGTTTGGGCGATTGTAACCACAACCAGTCTATGATGGCACCACTAGTAAATAGCAGGAAAATTTAAAAATGCTTTAGGGCGGGAAATTCAAACATGGATTCAGAAATAAATAGTTTTTCTGTACAAATTTACAGAAGAAACAAAAACTATTGTTTCACTGTATATTAAAAAATGTAAAAGCTTCCAATAACATCAAATTTTTTATCATATAAATAATCATTTTAATAAAGGAAGTTTTAATCAGTTTAATATAAGCAGTGAACATAGTTTTTATTACTCTTGTAAATTTCGCTAAAAAAAACTTGAAAATTCTATTGATTATTAAATATTTAAACTTGGAAAAATAATACACCAAACTCTTTTTATATAAATTATATTTCTGTAAAGTACAGAAAAACAAACTACAATTGCTACGTTTAGAAAGTACCTCGTATCATTTTGTGACAAATTACAAAGAAAGTCACAGTTGTTATATATTTATAATATATTTAAAAATATTTTAACAAATAGTTTATAAAGTATAGAGTATATCGATACTTTTTGCCAGACTATCATAAGTGCCATTTGAACAAATGTCGCTTACGTTAGTCTGGCAAAAAGGTATCGATATGTTATGACTGTTTATTTTAATAGAAACCATGTAAACGAAACAAACACACACATACACTCACACAGATGTATAAGGCCCGAGTCGAGTAAGTTCCCATCCTGTAAACTGGATCAAAACCTGCTAGACCCATTCCGTCCACCCCTTGCTAACTCCTCTTAGGGTCATCAAGATCAATAGATTTATATTCCATGTCTTCTAAAAGGGAATGAAGGATGACATACTACCATCATATAAACAGGACGTTGCTGAAGGCTTACCCCTGTTATGTCGTCTGTTTGTGTATCTTGTGCGTGTACATTCCTGTTGTGTCCCCACTCATGTAAAAGTTCTTAGTCTCCTAATTTGGTGACTGGTGGATCTTCTCCAACTAGTCGTCTAATATATTCGATCTGCTCTGCAGCAGGAGGTACTTTTCAAACATAGCAAATAATAATATTAATAAACACTATTTAAAGATGAATACATTTTTGTAATTTTTTTTGTCGTTGTCCCTTACCTGTCTCTTACACCACCAGGGTATACCTATTTTCCATACTCCCTTAATTATAGATTACATTACGATGTTTTAATGAATATAACATTTTACGCATGAAAAATCTAATTTCGAATCTTTTGCAATTTCATTTGGTATATTACAATTTATTATCAAGGAAATCTTCTAATAAAGTTATAGCAGAGCCTACTCTAACTACTGGTTGTTCTGTAGGATAAATTAATTTTTCTTGAGATTGATCTCTCTCTAAAATCCAAAACCGACCTGATGTCCCCAAATTTATTTTCCAATGATTCCTGATTTAAAATGCTGCCCTTTTGTGATTCAATTTTTTTTCTTCGTTTAAATGACTACAATCTTCTAATAGCCACTAGAGTGGCTATTAGAGGTAGGTGTATGTAAGAAATAGCCAATCTCTAATTATTTCAAAAGTTCTTTGCCAATACTACATGTGCAGAGATCTCTGTTCCAATTCACCTAAAATAATTATAGCCATTTTGTAATATATTATTAAACACATACATTATATAGTGGTTTTCTTAATAAATTGGAAATTACTTACCTCTAGAAAGAAACGTGTACAAAAACGCGAGTGTGGTTCCAGAAACTGCTTCATGCAAAAAATAATATGCAAAAATAAACACTCTTCCGCCAAAAAAAAAAATATTTAAACAACAAAATCAGACAAAAAAATAAACGGGGCCCAAATTAAATTAATTTTAATAAAATGCATACCTTCATAAACAACATTCATAACATTGTCAGTTGTCAGTTCTTATCTATACGTCACACGTTGGCGTCAAAAAACCAACAACATCAGCGACCTCTAGAACTGGTGTTAGTTTTATTGGAGAGAGATAAATATATGTAAAGATCAATGTAAAAGAGAAAGAAACTCATATATGTAATTTAAATGGACCACCGAACAAATTTTCCTATCAAGTTATACGTGTTTGTTATCTCTGACTTTCTTGATGGAACCTTCCCCCCATAGTTCTCAAAAACTCCTCCCATTAAAAAAGGCTGGCTGCGCCACTGTTTAAAAGTAAGAACCTTTGCGAGCGAGACTTAGATATTAAGGCAGAAAGATATACAGAGTAATACAGACATTAGAAATATGGGAAAGGAAAGTGCTTAGAAAAATATTTGGAAGTAAAAATATTGATGGGATTTGGAAGAGAAGAACAAATAAAGAAAAAATAACTGGAGTGATCAGCTTAATCTGAAACAGTTAATGGTATGGGTTTAAAAATGTTAGCAAGTAGGAATAAGTCACCTATTTTTTGCTATGTCCAGACAAAGAATGCAAACTACAAAGCGCCTACTTGATAACAAAATGATTTGTATCAAATACCTACCGATGAGACACTACTAAAACAAAGTATAAATATGATGTTTTCAAGAATAATAAATTCTGTTAGTTTACAAGTATTAAAAGTAATTTTAAAAAACCGACTTTAAAATCGTGCAGATACCAACACCACATCTTGACCAAATTTATAGGGGACCGCCCCTGAGGTACCCCCGTACTAACAAAAAAAGAATCATAGAAATCGGACAAGGTGGTAAAGAAATATCACTAAACATACATAAAAAATCTGATGTGTCCAACACATGACTTTTCTATCTAGTTATTACAGGCTTTTTTCGGTTATTTTGTACAACCTATTGTAGCACCTCTGTAAATATTTAGAGGTTAATTTAATATATACATTTTCCACATACATCTAACTCGAAACATTTTTTTATATACACTCATTGCCAATGAAAATACTGAAAAATTTAAATGTTATACTTTTCCTCCAATCTTTCCATTACGGTCTATTTTAGAGAAATCATGTAAGAACAAAAATTATAGAGATACATCTTTCTTAAAAATCATCAATTTTGCATTTTGAAAAATTTCTCGAATACGGACCATTTTAGGACAATTTTGTATAGAACAAAAATTATAGAGAATAATATTAGAAGTAACTTTTATTTAAAGAATTTTCTTCTCCAAACTAAATAACAGATATATTTCATAAAATATAAAAATGACCCTCTATAAAGCACCCCCCAGATGTTCCGTGGATACAAACACACACAGACAGCATCGCGAAAATAGACAAAACGGATTCAGGGGACCCCAGAAAGGTAAAAATCCGTCGAAAACTCGAGGTCGAAAAAAATCATGATTTCTATACTTTCCTTATGTGTATACAGTGAGGAAAGTAAAAATGAAGAGTTTAAGGATTTTCTCATGGATCCAATTATTAGATTTTGACCAAATTTATATGGGACCACCCCTGAAGTACTCCCTTTCTAACAATCTAAGAATCATTGAAATCGGACAAATTATCACTGAATATACATAAAAAAAAAATATGAACCTCCTTTTTTGAAGTCTGTTAAAAAGAAGCTTCTTAAGCTTAAGGGGAAAATAAAAAAATGTAAAAAGTGTCTTTTATTAATCTATGAAATAAATTTTTAATGTAGTAAAATTCCTTTATTGCTTTTTATATTTTTAAAGTAATATAAAGTTCTAAAAGACAAATTATATATTTTTGTAATACAGTATTCTTTGGTTTAATATTACTAGAGTTAATGTCCTTATATGTAACGAAAAAATGCATACTTCCTTATATTTTAATACTATTTTTTTGCTTATATTGTAATAAACATGCACATACTAGGTAATTTGCAATCAAACCTCTAAAAGTACATTGCTCCTAGTTTTCTAATTATTGGCTACCAACAGAAATGATTCTCTTTCTGAATATTTAATGAAACATTACTTTTCTTAATACTTTGATTTTTGTACGATACAATGTTCCAATTAAAAAATATGAATTATTAAAAAAACAGTGTAGCCATTACTTTAGGTTTCTTGGTTATTTTGGAAAACGTGAAAATTCTCTTAAAATTACTACCTCCTATTAAAAGGTTTAAAAAGTATGCCTATTCTTAAGACATATCGTGTTATTAAACTACATGACGTAATCCGTAAAAAGGCACTAACAAAAATTACGACTTATGATGAAGTAGATACATCCTGTTAATTACAGCATTAATTATTTGTAATCCCAAATTAACGGAACTTCCCATGGGCGTATCAGCAACAATATTTTAATCGTTGTAAATCATCCAATTTAAAAAGATGGATTATTTAATCGTTTCATATTTTATATTATATTTTTATATATTTAATTCTTATAGTGTTTTTAAATTATTGTATTTTTTGAGTTAATTGTATGTTTGCACACTCTTGGATAAAGCTTTGATTGTTATATAAAAATTTCTTATCACACAGTTGTACCTGGACAAATTTATGTGATTAGACGTTTATTTACTTAGCCTTTTTTTGATTTAATAACTATATTTTTACTAAATAATAAGGTTAAGAACTTTTTACATTAAGAAAATATGTTAAAAATTGTTTATTAAATTGTCTTTTTTTTTTCAGCGTTTGGCAGTGCAGCATTCGAAACACCGAATATAGAACTCTCCTTGAAATTAACTGACCCTCAGGATGTGATTGTTCAGAAGGAGCAAAGTGCACTTTTCAGGTGCCAAGTGGAATCTCGTAAGGGTCCAGTACAGGTAATTCACTTTTATACTCTAAATAAAATCGCTGTATTGTTGAACTATTTATTATTATTTTATATACTAGCTGACCCGCCGAATTTCGTATCGCCTAACAGTCATTTAAAATGTTAGCATGGCTTATTTATTTTAGAGACAAAACTTTTTCACCTATAACCTATATTTAATCAAATTTTTTATAACAAATTACCTTAAATCCGTGTTGTTCGATGTCTGCTCCAAATGAAATCATTTGAAAACAGCCATTGTATTTTTGAGTGTTCGCTAGAAAATGTGATTCTGGTGTTTCGCCACGAAGCAATTAATGCAATGGGTCAGGTGGCGGAGTAAAAAATGGCTATTTCACTTTTTCCTTAAGGCAGCATAATCCAGCCGTCTCTCCAACAAGCTTCAATGCTCCACAATGCTCGTAAACAACGTCCATCGGACCAATGCGAACCAAAGGATGCGAGCTTTAATCAATTGTGCAATCGTATAGAAACGCTTCTGCAGCCATATAAAAAAACAGCTATAAGAATGCTGTGAAGGCCTGTAGGTGGATGATAGGTGGATGGTAGGAAGCACATGAGGGCTTAATCCATGTATGATGCACTGGTTTCTTACTGTGATTGTAGTACTTAACCTACTCATTAATCTTATGGTGATACGAAGCTAAAAGCATTACAGCTAGCAGAATATTAAAGTACAAAAATAATCAGGCGCAGATCTGGGAAAAATTTTCGGGGAGGGGTAAATAATTTTTTTGGTCGCACCTATTTTTTTTGTTTTTTCGTAAAATCTCGAGATAATATTTAATAAATTCCAGGTTTTCATCGAGCAACTCGGGAGATTATTACCCTATTACCCTCCCCTCTTATAATCGCGCCTACAAAGACTGGCCTGTCTATTAATAGCAGGGGCCTTTAGATGTAAGTCCACGGTACAATAGGCTTTCCTTTAACTTGTGGTGGAAAAAGTGACTCTGGCGGCGGCATACAGGCTGTTTACAAATGGATTAGAAATCATATTAAAGAAATTGAAACAAAATCCGGTGTACATAATGCTATCGGGTAGAACACCTATTATTCATAGCTTTAGGAAACCTTTCGTTATTCCAGAAAGGGTCAAAAACCGGGAAAATATGGAAATACAAATCTGGTATACACAGACGGTTCGAAGATAAAAAACAGAACAGGATCTAGGATTTACCATGCGAACTCAGGGAGAACCATTAATCTAAATCTGGAGTCGCGGGCAACAGTCTTCCAGGCTGAAGTAACAGCAATAAATCATGTGTCTAGGTTATGATAAATGATTATCTTAAAGATAAGAGGGATTTTATTATGACATATATTTAAAGCACTGAAAAGGCTAGAAGTACATTCTAAATTAATATTGGACTGCCAAGAGTCCCTCGATCCCCTATCAGGACATAACAAGGTCACTCTTGAATTTGTGCTGGGACATGAGAAAGTGTTGGGAAATGAGAAAACTCTAATTGGACCACAACCCACATGTAGTATTTCATATCAACATGTTTAATGGGTGCTAATGGAACAGACAAATAGAGAACACCATAAGCTCTGGTTGGAACTTCCTGGATTTAGGCAGTCCAGAATTTTCATAGAAGGTCCATCCAAGAGAACACAAAATCAACTGTTAAACCTCAGCAGGAACGAATTAAAGATCGTAATACGACTTTTTACGGGACACTGTGGCCTTAGAAGAAACATAAATCCCTTAGGGACATCTGATGAATCCCTTTGTAGAATATTTGGAGAGGAAGACGATCACATACTATGTCATTGCCGGAACCTTAAATTGGAACGGGAATTTTTCTGATGGGCCAAACTAAATTAAACGGGTCTTGATATTGTATATTACCTACATTATTTTAATAAATATTTAGTTATTTTCAATTTTGGACTAAAAGAAATAAAAACTAAAATGAAGACATATATTGCTTGGCATTCTATATTATACTCTTCACAGTTTAACATACCTCCCTAAACCCCATTTTCAAACAGATTTTTTTAGAATCAATAGAATTTTTTTCAATATTTCAACCCCTCATATCTCCCTATTTTTATTTATTTATTAATTTCCTCGTAGAGCTTGATTTTTATTAAAGACTTGTTGATATCACTTTTGGTTCTTGATTTCTATTTTTTTATTGATCCCCATTTTATTTCGACTTTTTTAAAATCAATAGGCTTTGTCCCTTGATTTTTGCCAAAAATTTCAAGCTGATATTATTGTTCGTTTTTGAGTTAGGATTTTTTAAATATTTCACGCCCCCTTAACCCTCCATTTTTATTTAATTTTTTTTAGCATCGATAGGCTTCATTTCCTTATAGAGCTTGATTTTTACTAAAAATTTCGTGTTGATATCGCTTTTCGTTTTTGATTTATGATTTTTTTTTTTTTAATTTCAACCCTCACATTTTAATCAGATTTTTTTAAAAATAAAAATATTTCTTCCCCTTATAGAGCTTGATTTTTGCTAAAAAATATAACCTCCCTTAATCCCCATTTTTATTCAGATTTTTTCAAAATCAATAGGCTTCGTCCCCTTATAGAGTTTTTCAAAATCAATATTCTTTGTCCCCTTATAGAGCTTGATTTGTCCTCAAATTTTCAAATTCTTATCGTTTTTCGTTTTTTCGTGCAGACAAAAGACATCGGACGTCAACCATACGCATAATGCACAGACTATACTGTGTGAGTGTGTGAAGAGTATAATAAGTTATGTCAGTTGCAATTATTGGTTTAGTTGAGTTTGTTTTTAATTTCAGTTAATTATTTGTAGATAACTTGGTTTCACAATGACGAAAAAATTGTAGAAGACTCGAATTGGATAATCCGTGATAATGGAAACTTGTACATACCGAAAGTTACGACTGGCAAAAGTTCGAATGATATTCTGGGGGAATATCAATGTTTGGCCAGAAATAGAGTCGGAGCCTTACTTTCTAATGTGGCCAAGTTGAAAGTAGCCAGTAAGTATAATCATTAATTTATATTATAATTATATCTAAAAAAATATTAAAAATAATAAACTGAACAAAAAATTCTTTGATAACAAAATTTATGTCTAAAACTAAAATCTTCAACTCTTTTCTTTCCGTTTTCTAATATTGAATCATTATTAGGTTGAAAGTCGAATTTTAAGCTAGGTTGTTTTATTCTGATGGTTTCTTTTTTAAGGGTATTTTTCTGTGACGCCTTCGTACCTTGTGCTAATCTTCTTATCGCTACTACATCCGTAATATTAATTAGGACCAATATATTTCACATCTTTTTTAAATCGAGCTTGACTATGAAAATTGGACATTATATCCATAAAGTCTCGAGGCATATAAAAACCCTTCTAATCCTATTTCCCCATGGAAGTATAGAATTTGAAGTTGCTCCAAGCTAGTATGCTCACACAAATAGTAACTAGGTACTAGTGATGTGCACGACAAAGTTCTCCAAAGAAGAGATAGATAGACCTTAATAATGGCCAGTTCGAAACTGTATGAATTAATAAATTTAATTTGGTGATGATCTGAAATTTGGTGATTCGGGAACGTAAAATCCTACCTAAAGTTTGGCTCTGCAAATTGATCCAATAGGCCATATTTATAAAAAAGAGGATTTGCTATTACTTGCAGAAATCGAAGCATAAAAGGAAGTAAAAGATTTGGACTTGAAACAAAGAGATGTTGCCCCAAAGGAAAGGTTTCACTTTTTGGAATTCATGAGCAATGGCATTTGCTTTAAAACTGAATGATTTGCTTCAGAAAACATGCATCTAGTCCAGAGAAGCTTCTGTAGCAAATTATTATTTAAAGAAAATGAAAATTATTATTGGCTTGACGAAATAAATGTGGAGTGGGTAGCCGACTACTTTATTAACGAAGATCTGGAAACCAGGGGAGGTGGTGCGCTTTTGCCAGGACAAAAATTTAAGTATTTTTTGGTACATGGCAGATCCGAACTTCTAGAGCGGTGTCGGTGAGAAACGGGAATATACACAGCCCCTACAGTTTCCAGAACCATTGGTATTACTCTGGTCTCCTTGTAGACAATATAGTTGAGTCTTTCTTATCCGAATGTATTTTATTCAAATGTTGTTTCATGACTTCATTTGAAAACGTTTTTTGACAAAGAAGGTACATTAGCGATGATGGATTTGTAGGATTTTCGATAAATCCATATTTAATATATTCCGCACTATACTGCCGTTTCTTCTTTTTTGCCTCTGACATGATCAGCACACTTCTTAAGTAAAAAGAACAAACAATATTTATTTTTTACTCAACAGGGATCTGTTAAAATATTTTTTACTTTTTAGTGCAATTTTTTAATAAAATCGTTTAACTTAAAAAAAATATTTATTTTATTATTAAATTTAATTGGGTGTTCACTGCACAAATGTACAAATGGAGAAACCGCTACTGGTAGGTAGATATCTACTTAATTTTAGTTTTAATACGGGATTCTATAAACAAAGTAGGTATCGAAACAATTTTATGTTATAGAGCTGCCAAAACACGAATTAAAACATAATTTTTCAATGTGTCACCTCCCCCCTAGACCGTCTTAACGCCACACCCATTTGCCCTAAGCCTTCTACCGGCCCGCTGAAGACCTCCAGCGCCCCCAAGGGGGCGCTATCGCCCACTTTTTGGTTCATTTTTTTTTGTTTTTCTGTTTTTTTGGTGGTAACATATCAAGAACTTGGTAAATTCAATATTTTCACCACTTTTTTGACATGCTCCGGTTTTGCTTGCATTTTTGCAGTCTTGCACGCTTTTGAGATTTTTTTGGTGGTTTAGTTTCTGGCAGCGTTAATTGGGTGGTCTGAAAGCCGCGCCGCCAGACTCTACTCCTTTTTTACTAATATGATTATTACATTTAGATATAAAATTCTTACCTATTCTTACAGATCAGGAAACGTGAAAGTCTCTGAATCACTATATTCACTTGATGAGTCTTTATTTACCGATATTATTAAAGGTTTCCCTGTATTATCGACATCCAAGGTTTTGTTCAGATTCCACATGTTTTCTTCTTCTTTTAACACATGGTCGATTGCCTTTTGCTAATTTTCCTTCGTAACAAGTAATATGGAGGTTTCTAACAATGCTTCTACATCTTTTAACTTAAATGTCGTATTATATAATAATAATACTCTCCCTAATTCACCCCCTTACGAGTGAATTTTAACCCCAAAAGCTAAGCTTGTGCGGGGAAAGGGACGGCTATTATTATTATTTGCCGTGGCGCTCCGGGGCGACTTAAAGAAGATTGATGGTGCCATTTGACTTACAGGTGAGGAAAACCTCACCCACCATTATCGAGACGGTAATGCATGGCGATTTTATAATCTGCATGTCATATCAACAGAAATTGAATTTCTATTAATACGGCACACATCAAATCCTATAACGAACCATGCAATTTAATTAAAAATCCACATGGTCTGGTCTGGGATTCGAAGCCCGGCAGCCTCGGACCATAAACTCGCCTATAAATGAATATAAGCGCGTTAGACTGCTACACCACCGACCCGATATCCTACATATCCTTTAACTTAAGACGCACATCAATACCATGTGTTTTTGCAAGTTCATCCACTACATAACGTACTGGAGGCTTATTTAATTTCACAATTTCTAGTAGTTCTATTTTTATTCATTTTTCTGGAAAGTTAATGTTTCTGTCTGTTAGCCACTTAATGATATCATCTTTCTTCCATGAAGTATTTGGCACACGTCCAATTAGACGGGAATGGTAACTAGCGTTATCCAATTACTATAACTGAACCCTTTGGTAAATGTTCTATCATTTGCTGAAAATATTCTTCAAAAACATCAGCGTTCATATCTTCATGGTAATCTTCGGTTTTTTTAGATTGAACTATTAAAGAACTACGTTTTGAAAACCCGTCATCACTTCCAATATGAGTTATAATTAGACGTCGTCCTTTACCGGAAGGAACCTTCAATCCTGTAGATAATCCTTCCAAAAAAGCCTGTCGTGAAGATTGAATGTTTGTGTCCTGCCACATTTTGATAACTGTGTAACCTTCATTCACCCAGGTTTCGTCGAAATAAAATATTTTTTTGCCTTTTGCACGTAATTTAAAAATGGTTCTGAGGTATCTCCGCCTCCAACAAACAATTTCATCAAAATCAATAAGTGCTGCTTTCCTGTCCTGTTTATCCCACTTGAACTTAAAATCTATTAAAGTTTCCTGTAGTTTTGTCTTTGCCATTTTAGGAAAACACGGATCACTATTGATTGCGTCCAAAACCTTGGCAAGTGTTGGTATCTAACCACAATTTCTTACTGTAATAGATAATATAGAAGGCTAATCAAACAGGGTAGGTAATATTGGGAACTGATCAAGGTACTAACTTCAACTTCATCTTATCTTCATACCAAATCCTAGGTAGGTAACCATCTTATAATCTCACCCCCTTGTTATCATTTTGGTTTTTCCATGGCATTAGTAATCTCCAAGAAGATGATAAAATAACGATTAACTCTTAGATTATAGATTTCTATAATCTATGGATTTATCCTATTTACATTTATAGATTTTGAACCCTCAGATTACTTTCTATAATCTAAGCTGAATTCTTTCTCTCCACTTGTCATTAACTTTCACCTTGACATCCAAAATTTCCAAGAAGTTAATGATGAATAACGATTTAAACAATTTAATGTAGGTATACCTAATAGTCAAATTTATAGGTCTTGAAAAATATTTGTTATATACTATTTTGTTAATTTACTTAAACAGATAACTCTATCATTTACATAACAATTGAAAATAACTCAAAATCATTTTGTAAAGTACCTACATACCGAAATAATACTCAATAATACATATTCAAAAGAATATATTTTTAAATGATGATTTTATGTACCCCGTAAATAATAATATAGGCACCCACACCTGAAATTTCCTGATCTGACAGATTTATTACTTTGTGTCGATTGCGATTCTACTATAGTTTCATTTGTGCGGTTTAGTAATCGAAATTGTGTTATTAATAATTCAGTCGCTGCTAATATAAAATTTGATCGTATTATAATATAAAAATGAATGAACTAATAAATTGTTTACCGGTATTAAAACTGACTAAACATTTTTCCATTTTTCACCTTTGTAAAAATACTTTGCAAGGAATTTAACAACGTTTGGAGCATTTAATTTGTTTATTGTCGCTACTTTCCCCTATATTTGCATCCTTATCGAGGGTCAAAAGCAGGTAGCTAATCCCTAATCACTATCTTTCTCTTTTAGAAGTATATACATTTCGTGTGTTTTTGAAAGTAAGAGGTTCTTTGTCAGAGTCTTGTTTCTGTATCCGATAACGCCAAAAATCCGAGAATGTTAAATCAGTAATTATGTAATTATCATGTGAACATTACAAACTAGCTGATCCTTATCGTTGTTAAGGTCTAAAATAATATTGAATACGTTTGGCATTTTATGAAATACTATTTTTTCGTCTACTAAATTTCGCAATACTTAAACAATCTCAATAAGAAATCTTATTTTCTTTCATATTTTTTTATTGTTTACTTCTATTATACATGTATGTAATAAAAACATCAATTTATTTTTTTATTTTTAGCAATGGAAAAAGAGTTTTCGACCAACCCTGTTAACTCTACTGTTTATCTTTCTCAACCTATAATACTCCGTTGTGGTATTCACTCTACACCTCCCGCTGATATTCAGTGGGAATTTAATAATGATCCAATACTACCTCACCAAACAAGGTTTGTAAATAATTTTTCTTTTTTGTGAAAGTATAATTTTAAAAAAACAGTAGGTAGATAAGATTTTTTGTAGCTCGAAAAAATATATTTTCCTTCGAAAACAAATTTGAAATTATTTTTCATTGAGAGCGTGGTTGCTCTTTTTTTGTTTAATTGAAAATTTAATTATCGAATTGCAAATATTGACTTTTCTTTTGTTATAATACAAGGTGATTCAAAATTGAGTGCAAAGATTTTAAAGGTGTATGTACCAGCCAAAAATGAGAAAATTTTTTCGTATAATCATTTACTTGCTTCGTTTTCTAAATACTAGGTGTCAAAGTTTTTTAAAAAAATCGTTTTTTTTTATCATTTACTCAAAAACATTTCAGCCGATTTAAATAAAATTTGGTAGGTTTATTTTTCGTCATAAGGGCCTTCCTTTGGTGAGTATAAAATAAATTTATTTATATTAAAACAAGTAAAAAACTAATTACTAAATGATGGAGATTGTCGCTAAATAGGTCTGTCTAAATTTTTATTTGTGTTATGAAATTTAATTTATTATTTATTCCAGTGGCATCTAAAAGTGTGATTTTATTTAATTAATAATTGTAAAAAAAAACTATTTATTTTACACTATGTATCTAGAAAACGAAGCAAGTTAAGACATACAATTATATGAATTTTTTTTATATATTTTTGGCTGGTAAATATGCCATTAAAATCTTTGCACTCAATTTTGAATCACCCTATATACGATATTAGGTTCTTGCTTTTCGAATATGGCTCAAATATAATAGTATTTAAATCACATATTACTTGGAAAATTTGGAACTGATTTACCTACTTACTTTTGGGCTGTGAAGGTATTTGGTCATATTAGGTTGGCATATTTTAGTGCGGTTAAGATAAAGATAAAACTAGCTAAGTCGGATCGTAAAATAGTATTTCACATTTAGAAGAAAAAAAAACTAATTTTTATCATCCGTTGAACAATATACTATTTTATACAGGGTGTCAATTTGAAAACTTTCAATGCGAATATCTCGCAAAATAAAGAAGTTGGAGAAACGCCGTTTGGCACAAATGTTATAGAGTTAGGGGGAACTAGAACCACCATATTTCAGTAAAAAAAATTTCTTATAGCGACGAATACACGTTTCATTTAAACGGTTCAGTGAACAAACACAACTGCAGGTATTGGAGTGACGAAAATCCGCATTTCTTCAGGGAAGGGCACACGCAGTATCCAGAAAAAATAAATGTTTGGGCGGGAATTTTAGGCGACACTGTGATTGGGCCATTATTTATTAATGGCAATCTTAATGGCGATACTTACTTGGAACTGTTGGACACCACCATTCAACCTCTCATTGTTGAAGAAATTGAAAATCAACTGGACATTAACGGAAACAGGAATCTGAATAAAAATTTAATACATTTTCAGCAAGACGGAGCACCACCCCACTACGTTCTTCCAGTTAGGCAATTTTTGAATGACGCTTTTCCAGGTCAATGGATTGGACGGAGAGGTCCAATCGAATGGCCGGCGAGATCTCCCGATCTAACACCTCTTGACTTTTTCTCTGGGGACATTTGAAATCCATCGTATTTAAAACAAAACCGGATTCAATAGAAGATCTTCGGCAACGAATTATTACGGAATGCAGCAATATTCCAAGAGAAGTGTTCCACAATGTTAGGATAGAATTTGAAAATCGATTATACTATTGTTTAGCACAAAATGGAATGCATTTTGAACATCTAATCAAATAAAATATTAAATTTTTTTATTCGAATTTTTTGTTTTTGTATTGAATGGAAAAAAAATTCTTGTACAGGTGAATACTACTAAATAAGACCTTTCATTTGAGGTATCACAAAAGGGGTAGTGCCATTTGACATTTTAAAGTTGGAGTGTGCCGCGTCTAAGGGGTGACTCACCCGCTCACTTAAAAATGGTGGTTCTAGTTCCCCCTAACTCTATAACATTTCTGCCAAACGGCGTTTTTCCAACTTTTTTATTTTGCGAGATATTCGTACTGAAAGTTTTCAAATTGACACCCTGTATAGAGCATATGTTGATTTGGATAAATATTTTTAGAGTGACTTTAATTTCTTATCCTTCATAATATCAGCTCTGGATAAAACTTTAAAGAACTTCAAAAGGCTTAAACTGTCATGTATTATACTTGCCTTGAAACTCAAACTACCATTTTTACATTAATTGTATTAATATAATACGAGTAAAACAGTTGGTGCTGAATCAGATCATAATACTTTTAAAAATTCCATTGAAGTATCCGATAATATCCAAACGATTTTATAAAAGGCCTTCTGCCACCGAATAAATAATCTTATTCACAATCAAATTTAGCCGCTATATACTAACGATTTGCAAAATACTACTTTATACGCCATATTTCATTTTATATGTCATGATATCGGCCATAAAATATTATGGGCCTATAATTTTTATGCGTTTTATATAGTGTTAGGTCATGACACGTTTTGATATTTTGCTTAGACCAGCTTCTTTATTGAATTCATATTTTTATAAAATTCTTCAAGTACCTACTTATTTGTTGTAATTTTTATTTATCTTTAAAAAACTTTACATTTGTTAATTAGATAGTATACAGTACAGGTGGTTTCAGAATAAAGTACCGTAAACCAAGGGACTTGTAGATTTTAATTAATTATTAGGAAAAGCTAAATATAATTTTTCTGTAAATGTCCCAGTTTTGATTCTACAGAGTGATAAAGTGAATTTCCTAAATACATTATTTTCTAAATATATTCCCTTACGTTAAAGACTTTAAAAACTTTAAAATACCCACTTTTTAATTAATACACTTTATTACGATAACCCATTGGCCTAGAATGAAGGGCTAAGAAAACAATTTTATTCCAAACTTTTTGAACACCCTATATTTCATCAAAGTTAAGATTAATTATTTCTCTCGAAATTTGTCACAAAAAAGGGGCTCTTGGTTGATATTTGTAAAACACTCCATTTTCGAGATTTTTCGTGTACTTGCACATTAAAGCTATGTACTTTAATATGCAAATTTGTATTAAGGGCCGATTTCAGAATCAATATTAAAAGGTCCATTAAGTCCCTAAGATCTTGGTCCCATTAGTTAATGGACCTTTTAATATACATTATGAAATTGGCCCTCGATAAAATTGTACATAGATTTCATGTTTGAGTAGGACTAAACTGAAAAGTCTCGGAAATGGAATATTCTACAGAGATCAATCAAGAGTCATTTTTTTGTGAAAAATTGCGTGAGGAATAATAATTATTAATTTTAAGTTTTATTAAATATAGGGTGTTCAAAAAGTTTGGATTAAAATTGTTTTCATAGTGTGTTAACTAATAATGGCAATTAACTAACATGTACATATTTTTAAGTTAAAATATTTACCGTGAGGGAAGATATTTAGAAAATTATGTATTTATGAAATTAACTTTATTACCCTGTAGAATGAAAACTGGGACTTTACAGGAAAATTATATTTAGCCTTTCTCAACAATTAGTTAAGATCTATAAGTTCTCGGTACTTTATTCTGAAACACCCTGTATATACCTGCCGTTATTTAAAGCTTTGGTAATGATGAATTGTTGAAGCTTACTCTATATTTTGAAAAATGTTCTGATCAAATATACCCATATACACAGGGTGTTTCATTAATATCTGTAAAAATTCTAACTGGAAAATTTTAAGAACAATTATCAAATAGAAAATTCTTAACACAAATCACTAAATATTGCTTCCTATAACTCTTCCTATGACTCTGCCGTACGCCTCTGAGGCTAGCAAGAAACTTTTTTACCATAATTTGATGGGTCTAAAACTATTTGAACTTACTGCCAAATATCTTAAAGAAATTTCGGGTAGTATTAAAATAATGATTAAAATTCATTTTTAAATATTTAAATAAAACACCTTGTAATTCAGTAAGGAGCAATCTAAATCATTTGGGGTAAATTTTCAAATTTTAATCTAAAAATTTTTCGGTTAGAATATTTACACAATTAAGGAAACACCCTGTATACAGGTTGAATCCTAAGTTGATACTTTTTCAACTATGTATAGAAGTCATTAAAATAAACAACTTTTTTAAATAGCTTTATCCAAATAACTCAAAAATAAAAAACTTACATTAATTTATTCCAAATTATATCCAATACGGTCCTTTCTAACTTAAATAATGTGTTTATAGCTGTCACAATTCGGTTGAATGTTGACTCGTTCGTAACTAGAAAAATGTAGATAACATTCATGCCGTTGTAAGAACCAGTGGCGGCTGGTGCTGTAGAGCTGCAAAACTCCCATTTCACAGAAATTATTACTAACATTCTAAAATATACATAAAATAAATTTTATGGATTATTTCATTAATTGTAATTATGAAATAGTATCCATAGCGCGCGAAAGTATCTTACTCTCATTTCATAGCTGAGAATATATCCAGAGGGGACCAGTGGAAGACTTAAAAGCTCGCCAAGCCATATTCATCTCTTAGATGAGTCGCTTCGGGAAGGTCTGTGCATCACTTGGGCCGCCCGCGCTCTTCATCTCACCTACCCGCCGCTCTCTAAAAAGTAACGCATAGTGCTTGAGCTGCATTTATGCCAGATCGTCGAGCTTTGTTTATAGTCTGTCGCATATGTGATATGATTCAATTTCGGTTTTATAGATTATTAGTTTGTGTTAATTCGTCAGCGCGCGTTTCCATTTTACATAAAAAACATGGATGTAGTTTATAAGTATGAGTATGCTGATAAAAAGGCCCGTTGAATAGAATTAATTTATAAAAAGTAGGTGAATGGAAGCTGTAAAATAATAATTGCTTTTTCATAGGAGGGCGGGGGAAGAATCACAATCTTGTGGAACATCCAATGTTTGTTAACCACTAACCGCCACTGGTAACAACCATTCACAAGACTGAACTCTGCGGAGGAAATTTTTAAGTTGTTGTACTTCAACACGTTGAACGTTAGAGAGATACAATTGATTTTTCCGCAATGTTGTCCACACTTTAACTTACTCCTACTTGATCTTTAATAACCCTCAATGACATTTAAAATGTGTTCTGTTAACCGCACTTCATGTCTTCTCGGTCTTCCTACTTGTCTTTCACAATGTTCTCGCAAATCACCCGTATCCCTAGCCCGTTGGGCCAGATTAATGAAAGTTCTGGGTCTAGGATGGGCTCATGAGTAAAAGCGTTCACTGTACAACACTGGTGCAGCAGCTGCACTTTGAACACACTCGCCATAAATAAGCAACTTATCCATTGTTGTCATAATTTATCATACTAAACAATTTAATTTCACTACTTCAGACAAAGACGCTGCTGAAATCACACGCGACTGAATTACCATAACCGGTACACAATGAAGCGTGATTATTGTTTAGCTTAATTTGCATACACAAGTCCAGACCAGGATTTAGATTTTTTAATTATTTGCTTTTTTTATTTTTGAGTTTTTATGGAAAATATGTTTATTTTAACGACTTCTATACACCGTTTAAAAAAGTATCAACTTGGAGGAGGATGTATATACAAGGTGAATATCATTGGAAAATGGGCAAACGTTAGGGATAAAGAGAGGACACCGAGGTGGTTCTAAATAACCTATATTTAATGTATGATTCTTTATAACCAAGAAACATTTTGCTCTTTTCTTCAATTTCACAACTTACGAACCACACTGAATATTTTTTCATATTCACTTGTTTGTACAGGTCCGACATTAAAAAAATTACAAATTTGATTCACTTCGAATCAAAACAATTTTGAAAATGTATATGTTTATTTGAAAAGAACAGACAAAATTAGTAGGACTATAAAATTTAAAAAAATATTTCCTAATTAATACTGTTTCCAGTTGTATTCAATATTATTGGGATTTAAAAATAATTTCCAGTATTTTTGAAAAATTTATTTGGGGTTTTCCAAATAATATTAATTACTATTTGTTTTCGGATCAATAACCGATATAGTTTTCGGAACTTTAGAACTGATTTTTATTTTTTATATAAATTTTTGTTTTTCTTTACAGGGTGTCCCGAAATTAGACTGTCATATTTTAACAGCGTAATCTACATCCTAAAATAGAAGTAAAAGTTCATATAAACATAGGTCCGAAAATTTTTGTTTCCGAGATACAGGGTGTTAAAAGTGAAGGCCTGATGACACATTTTTGTAAATATTTTCTAAACGTTTGAAGATAACTGAGTGAAATTTGGTACAAATGCTAAACTTTTTACGCTCTATTTAATGGACTGAACCCCAATTTTGGTGGGTAAATTAGGTTTTTTTGTTGACATTAAAAAAAAAAACAATGTTTTTGTTGTAATAAAACTACTTTTGTTGCATCTCGCTAGGACGCAGCATTTTCAAGAGAAAAACATTTGAAAATTTTATGATAAGTTCATATTAACTTATTCGAAAGTGCAAATAATTAGTAGGCATGTGGAATCAGAAATTTTTTTTAGCTTTGGAAAACCGGTGACAAAAGAAATTTATTTAGCTTTAATTGTGTTTTAAATGTTTATTTTATAAAGAAACTTTAAATGGTAAAACTAAATAGCATTTAAACTTAACCCTTTCTGTTCCAACGCCGCATATATATGTTTTTTAAAAAGTGGGCCTGTAGTCCCAGCCGCCGTATATATACGTTCTAGGTGGAATGATCTCAATTCACCAAAGCCGAAAATATGCGCTACTTATAAAATTTTAGACCCATTGGGGTCCCAATGCCGTAGAAATATGTTCGAAAATGTTAGATTATTGGTCCCAAAGCCGTATATATTTGTTCTCATATTGTAGCATGAAAAAACCTCTAGGACTGAGGCCCGGGACAGAAAGGGTTAAACTAATAACATGTTTTTTTTTTTCAAATCGTTTGGTTGGTTTTGACCAAATAAAACGATTGATGAGAATTTGTTTCTTTAACTGTCGACGTTTAAACTATTTTAAGCTAATACTTAAGACGGTAAATTTTGGCTGATTGAAAGATTTCCGGGTAGATGGGTAGGAAGAGGTGTTCCCACACCGTGACCACCTCGATCTCCGGACTTAAACCCATTAGATTATTATTTTTAGGGTCGTATAAAAGGTATGGAATACGCTACAGAAGTTAACAGTGAGGAAAAGTTGCGTGAAAGGATACGTTTAGCAGGGAATGAAATACGGCAAAATAATTTTAAACTTATGCGAGCTTCACATGTGATTAACTGTAGAGCTGAAATGTGCATTCGTCAGCAAGGCAACGTTTTTGAATACTTAATTTAACTGTTGTAAAATTTGATATTTCTAATAGAATCTTTGTTATTTTTAGTAGAATAGTAGAATTTTTAGTAAAATAGACAAAAACTATTTTTTTATAGGCGACATTTTGACTTATTTTAAGTCATCCTCAGGACAATAAAAGTAGATACTTCACGTTATAGTGTATTACGTAACAAGAGTTGTAAGTAACCCATTACGCACAAAGTCAAAAAGTTTACGCACGAAGCTGCGCAGCGGCGACTGTGTAAATTTCACAAGTGCATAATGGGCTTACATCTCGTGTAACGTACTATACTTTTTCTACGCCCACTTATTATCTTCTATTAAATAAAGGACATATGCTTGTGTCGCCAATCCAAACATTTTCGATAGGTAATTTCGTACCTTTCTTTGGATTTTAGCGGTAACAAATTATGTGAGGCGGCTTGAGCTTTTTCTAAAATCTCCGGTGGAGTACTCATAATTTAATCACTTTCACTACTAACAGACATATTCGTAGATAAAGTTGAGAAAATGTTCGAATACTATAATATTTTGTTACAAAAATTGACAATATTAATGAGAAGACGTTTATTTCCATAGCATGTTAAGGAAACGCGACTTTTTTTGAAAAATTGTATAATGTGTTGCCGACTTTTAGGGGCATTATTTTTTTAATCCAAAATGTATCTCGCTAATACTAAAAGTTTTTATGTTTTTCAATTGACTAAATTTATGTAAATAGACCAAAATAAGTCGAACGTAGATAAAAATTTGATTGCAATTTGATTGAACTAAGAAATTTAAGTTTTCTTATCAAAACGCACGTGTATGTTATGAGATCTCATTACGTGCATGTTATTGTTAAATGTCATTTACAAGGAATGTTGACAGTGCGATTTTTAATGTTTACTGACATGTGCGTAGAAAAAATAGTTTAAACGTTGACAGTTAACAAAATAAATTATCATCAATCGTTTTTATTGGGCCAAAGCCAACCAAACCATTTGGAAAAAAGAACATGTTATTAGTTTAAGTTTAAATACCATTTAGTTGTACCATTTAAAGTTTATTTATAAAATAAACATTTAAAAAACAATTAGAGCTAAATAAATTTCTTTAGTCACCGGTTTTTGTATGCTGAAAAAAAATAAAATTTCTGATTCTACAGTCCTACTAATTATTGTTTGCACTTTTGAATAAGTTAATATGAACTTATCATGAAATTTTCAAGTGCTTTTCTCTTGAAAATGCTGCATCCTAGCGAGATGCAACACAAATAGCTTTATTATAAAGAAAACTTTGGTTTTCCAAATTTTGTTGTCAAAAATGTTAAAAACTGTCAACAAAAAAACTAAAGCAATTTTACTCTAAGCTCCCCCTCCTCTAATTTACACCCCTATGAATATGATCAAAAACTGGGGTTTAGTCCATTAAATAGAGCATAAAGAGTTTGGCATTTTTACGCAATTTTACTTAGTTATCTTTAAACGTTTAGAAAATATTTATAAAAATGTGTCAGGACTTCACTTTTAACTCCCTATATCTCAGAAACGAAACGTTTTCGGACCTATGTTCATATGAACTTTTGCTCCTATTTTAGGATGTAGATTACTCTGTTAAAATATGACCGTCTAATTTCGGGATACCCTGTATTATATGTTTTAAATAGTTGTGTAGCTCACCGTTTTAAATGGTTTTGTTCATATATTTTTAAATTGGTTAATCTGCCATACCAAAAAAGTTTTATATTAAAACTTTCCATTGTTAAAATAAAAAGTTTCATGGTATGTTTTATGAATGTAGAAAAGTTGGATAAAAATTTAATTAAAACAAAAGTGTTATTGATCAATTCCTTTGCAGTATATGGCACCATAAATGAATATACAAGAGTAAGAAATAAGTCTATAAGATTAGATAATATTTTCACAAAATGAAGGAAAATACAATTTTTAAGCTTCTAAAAACAAATATTTTAGATCACTATGCACACAAAAAAAGTTTCAAACTTGAAATTAAAAAGCCTCTATTTACAAAAGCTCTTTTAATTATCCAAAGAACAGTTAAGAAAGGTTTTGCGAAGATATATAAAAATCGTTAAAATCAAAGATTACTAAATATTTTTAATCGGTGTTTTCCACTAACTTTGACAAAGGGCGATACCATAACTGTTTTTCACACAGAATAAATCATGCAAAAGTTTTAAAATTAAATAACTTACAAATAGTAAAAATTTGTTTAGTACAAATGGAGCCATATACATTGAAGTAATATCTAACAAATGAAACTTACAAACTCGGTAGGTAATAAAGAGGAACATATACAAATGCTTGTGTTTTTATGGATATACATTAGTTTGTAAACATAAAAAGGGAAATGAAAAATTTGTTTTTTTTTTCAGTTATGTTCCTCTGCCCAATGGGGTCCTGTTAATACAAAACTCACAAAGTTCTCATAGTGGAACTTTTAGGTAAGCTCTAGAAATCTAAATACCTTTCGCAATTGCTGATATTTACCAACTTCTGTCTTTTTAGGTGTAAAGCAACACACAATTTACTTAATAAAATTAAATATAGTAAAATAGCATATATGACAGTGTTGTCTGAGTTACCTAAGGCAACAGTACCTTCATTTCTACCTCTCGATGTTTCATCAAACATCACAGTTATGTCTGGTGAAAAACTCACTTTATATTGTCCTGTGATGGGTTGGCCTATACCTACAGTACAATGGCTTAATAGTAAGTAAAATATGGCATGTTATTACTCTTTTAGTTTAATTTATAAAGCATTTTTAAATTTACATGCATGTAAAACCATAAAGATAGAAACGTCATTATAATGAATGTCCAAGAGAGTTGGACAATATTTTGTGAACTTTATTTAATTATAATAATCTTGGTAAACTGACATTCTTTGTGTTTCTATCGATTTCTTAAATGTTATTAATGATTTGAGGAAACATAACCTTAAATTTTATTAATCACTTAACAATTCGAAGTGTGACTAAAAAATCACGCCAGCGTATCATCCAACTCTACTTTTTCTCCGAACTGACGTTGAGATTTCTATCTTTAAGAATTTTCACTTATGTGACTATTTAAAAATGCTTTGTGAATATGGATGTTAAATTGATTTGAATAACGAATAAGACCCAACAACGAAGAAATAGCCAAGACAAAATCACAAAATATGCGAACGACTGCTTTTCTACAGACACTCTTTTGGCTAATACCTCGACAGGCATTGAATTATTTATTTTCTGTAGGGAAATGGTCGGTCGTATATTTTATGACATCGTTTTTGAGATTTCTTCTGTTTACACCTTGCTCACATTTCGGTTTGGAATATTTTAATAATAAGGGTAGACAAATATCGGGTTACCTATACATAAAAACTTTATATCACGGCAAAATCAAGTAATTGATTAAATTATTTAAAAAAATATCCTGCTCTTATCGTTTTTACTTTTATTGAAAAAAAAGGTAAAAATAAAATAATAAAATAATAAAATGATAAAATGATAAAATGATAAAATAATAAAATAATAAAATAATAAAATAATAAAATAATAAAATAATAAAATAATAAAATAATAAAATAATAAAATAATAAAATAATAAAATAATAAAATAATAAAATAATAAAATAATAAAATAATAAAATAATAAAATAATAAAATAATAAAATAATAAAATAATAAAATAATAAAATAATAAAATAATAAAATAATAAAATAATAAAATAATAAAATAATAAAATAATAAAATAATAAAATAATAAAATAATAAAATAATAAAATAATAAAATAATAAAATAATAAAATAATAAAATAATAAAATAATAAAATAATAAAATAATAAAATAATAAAATAATAAAATAATAAAATAATAAAATAATAAAATAATAAAATAATAAAATAATAAAATAATAAAATAATAAAATAATAAAATAATAAAATAATAAAATAATAAAATAATAAAATAATAAAATAATAAAATAATAAAATAATAAAATAATAAAATAATAAAATAATAAAATAATAAAATAATAAAATAATAAAATAATAAAATAATAAAATAATAAAATAATAAAATAATAAAATAATAAAATAATAAAATAATAAAATAATAAAATAATAAAATAATAAAATAATAAAATAATAAAATAATAAAATAATAAAATAATAAAATAATAAAATAATAAAATAATAAAATAATAAAATAATAAAATAATAAAATAATAAAATAATAAAATAATAAAATAATAAAATAATAAAATAATAAAATAATAAAATAATAAAATAATAAAATAATAAAATAATAAAATAATAAAATAATAAAATAATAAAATAATAAAATAATAAAATAATAAAATAATAAAATAATAAAATAATAAAATAATAAAATAATAAAATAATAAAATAATAAAATAATAAAATAATAAAATAATAAAATAATAAAATAATAAAATAATAAAATAATAAAATAATAAAATAATAAAATAATAAAATAATAAAATAATAAAATAATAAAATAATAAAATAATAAAATAATAAAATAATAAAATAATAAAATAATAAAATAATAAAATAATAAAATAATAAAATAATAAAATAATAAAATAATAAAATAATAAAATAATAAAATAATAAAATAATAAAATAATAAAATAATAAAATAATAAAATAATAAAATAATAAAATAATAAAATAATAAAATAATAAAATAATAAAATAATAAAATAATAAAATAATAAAATAATAAAATAATAAAATAATAAAATAATAAAATAATAAAATAATAAAATAATAAAATAATAAAATAATAAAATAATAAAATAATAAAATAATAAAATAATAAAATAATAAAATAATAAAATAATAAAATAATAAAATAATAAAATAATAAAATAATAAAATAATAAAATAATAAAATAATAAAATAATAAAATAATAAAATAATAAAATAATAAAATAATAAAATAATAAAATAATAAAATAATAAAATAATAAAATAATAAAATAATAAAATAATAAAATAATAAAATAATAAAATAATAAAATAATAAAATAATAAAATAATAAAATAATAAAATAATAAAATAATAAAATAATAAAATAATAAAATAATAAAATAATAAAATAATAAAATAATAAAATAATAAAATAATAAAATAATAAAATAATAAAATAATAAAATAATAAAATAATAAAATAATAAAATAATAAAATAATAAAATAATAAAATAATAAAATAATAAAATAATAAAATAATAAAATAATAAAATAATAAAATAATAAAATAATAAAATAATAAAATAATAAAATAATAAAATAATAAAATAATAAAATAATAAAATAATAAAATAATAAAATAATAAAATAATAAAATAATAAAATAATAAAATAATAAAATAATAAAATAATAAAATAATAAAATAATAAAATAATAAAATAATAAAATAATAAAATAATAAAATAATAAAATAATAAAATAATAAAATAATAAAATAATAAAATAATAAAATAATAAAATAATAAAATAATAAAATAATAAAATAATAAAATAATAAAATAATAAAATAATAAAATAATAAAATAATAAAATAATAAAATAATAAAATAATAAAATAATAAAATAATAAAATAATAAAATAATAAAATAATAAAATAATAAAATAATAAAATAATAAAATAATAAAATAATAAAATAATAAAATAATAAAATAATAAAATAATAAAATAATAAAATAATAAAATAATAAAATAATAAAATAATAAAATAATAAAATAATAAAATAATAAAATAATAAAATAATAAAATAATAAAATAATAAAATAATAAAATAATAAAATAATAAAATAATAAAATAATAAAATAATAAAATAATAAAATAATAAAATAATAAAATAATAAAATAATAAAATAATAAAATAATAAAATAATAAAATAATAAAATAATAAAATAATAAAATAATAAAATAATAAAATAATAAAATAATAAAATAATAAAATAATAAAATAATAAAATAATAAAATAATAAAATAATAAAATAATAAAATAATAAAATAATAAAATAATAAAATAATAAAATAATAAAATAATAAAATAATAAAATAATAAAATAATAAAATAATAAAATAATAAAATAATAAAATAATAAAATAATAAAATAATAAAATAATAAAATAATAAAATAATAAAATAATAAAATAATAAAATAATAAAATAATAAAATAATAAAATAATAAAATAATAAAATAATAAAATAATAAAATAATAAAATAATAAAATAATAAAATAATAAAATAATAAAATAATAAAATAATAAAATAATAAAATAATAAAATAATAAAATAATAAAATAATAAAATAATAAAATAATAAAATAATAAAATAATAAAATAATAAAATAATAAAATAATAAAATAATAAAATAATAAAATAATAAAATAATAAAATAATAAAATAATAAAATAATAAAATAATAAAATAATAAAATAAATAATAAAATAATAAAATAATAAAATAAATAATAAAATAATAAAATAATTAATAAATAATAAAATAAATAATAAAATAATAAAATCGACACATGTCTAAGAAATGCATGCCTATTTCTCCCAGGAAAAACAAAAATCACGCCTTTTTATTTAACCGTTTTCTTAATTCGCATAATTTTTTTTTTTTTTTAGATGACATAGTCATAGGTAATAATTCCGTTTTGGAAGTACCTGATATTAAAACGAACGACGCAGGCAACTATATCTGCACAGCTTACAATAACGAGGGCCGAATCAGCCAAAACTTTAACGTCATCGTACGGCAAAAACCGGTTTTTACTGTAAAACCTAATTCTAAATCCTATCCTGCCGCTATTACAGCTAGACTCGATTGCCGAGCTACGGGAGCACCTGAACCTAGAATATTTTGGTTGAAAGATGGCAAACCTCTAAAGTTTGATTCCAGAGTCAGGAAGCAGACAAATGGTGTTATTTTTAGTCACACGATTACTAATGATTCAGGTAACGAATGCAAATTTACTCAATTTTGTAAAAAAAAATAAATTATAATTTTCCAATTTAACAATAAAATCTTATTTTATGTATACTATTAAAATGAGCCAATGTACAAAAATGCACAGCGGTATTTAATGTTAACTTTTTATTTACAAACTTATTTTGTGAAATAATAAACAAAGTAACCAAAAAAGAATAACAAATTGTACCTCTTTAAACACAAATACACACATCGCCAAAATTCTTGGACCCCCTTATGTTTGTCAAAATGAGACACTATTATTAAAAGTCAAGAAGTGTGTTAAATAGTACATTTATTTTGGTTATGTATCCATTACAAATTGGCTAAATTAAATTTTAACTAAACAAGAAAAAAATACGAACGAAAAATAGTGCATAATAAAATTATTACTAGAATTTGAAATCCAGAAGAAAACCACTTTAGAGCGAAATCAAAAATTCATTAATATTCGGTGTGTCCTTCCCTGTTCTGTAGTAAGGTATTAACTCGCCTGTGCATAGAAACAATAAGGGTGTTTGTAATCTATTGGGATGTTGTTCCATTCTTCTTGGACCACTACTGTGAGTTCCTGGAGGGTGACATAGGGATTAATTCTGTTTGAGATTGCTCGTCCCACGAAATCCCATATGTGCTCAATGGGATTCATATCTGGCGAATTTGCTGGCCACAGTAATCTTGAATATTCTGAATTTCTAGTGTATTTTGTACCCTTTTCGTGTGATGGGGCCTAGCATTGTCATCCATGAAAATAAAATTTGCTCCAATTTCATTTCGGAGAGGATAAATAATGGGTTCAATAATGTTTCGAACAAATCTATCGGCTGTCATAGTGTCTGGAATGGGAATAAGCTGCATACGACGACCATTCATTATGTCTCCCCAAAACATTACTGTTCCTCCTTGGTATGCAACGACTTCTCTGGCAAAAGATAGTCTTTCTAGTCGTCCGTTCTCTCTAAACTCTGTGTCCCTGACTATCACTAATTAAACCATATCTGGTTTCGTCCGAAAAAAGAATATTTCGCCACTGAGCTAAAAGCCAGTCTCTGTGTTCCTGTGCCCACTGTAGATGAGCAGCTATATGTCTGAGAAGTAACCTGGGTACTCTTAATGGTCTCCTAGATCGTAAATTGGCTCTAGCAAGTCTCCGCCGTATTGTGGAACTGGAAATGAATCGACCATACGTTCTTCTAAAATGAGTTCGGACAGCTGAGACTGTTACGGTTCGATTCCGACGTACTTAACCTGCTACATACCGATGTTCTCTTGGATTAGTTACCCTAGGACGCCCAGTCCCACGTCTCCAGTCAACACTGCTAGTTTCCTGGTACAAACGCCCTATTCGGATAACTGAAGCGCGGAGAATCCCTAGTCTACGTGCGATTTGATGATTCGGCAGACCCTCATCATGCAAAGCCACTATTCTTGCTCTATTGGACACTGAAATTCTATTGCCAGGTATAGTTGCAAAGAAAAACTCATCAATCACTTAAACACGCAAAATCGATATGAACCACTCTTTAAACATTGGTACCTAAAATTGTGGGAAATTGTTTTTTTAAACATTTTTAGATATCAACGGTGAAATAAATAAAAATTAAATGTACAAAAAAGCAGCATTGTACCAAGAATTTTGGCGATGTGTGTATACGTCAAAGTTCAAAGCACAGTCAGGAAATAACCGGTAAAGGCATACATCGTTGATCTCGGTAAGACTGGTTTACTGAAAGGTAGCCAATTTGAATGAGGAGGAGGAAGTCAGGATTGTATTTAATTTAAAAACCGTACTTAAATATTTAGAAAGGAATAACATAATAATTATTAGTAACTGAATAGTATCTGTTAATATGGATCAGAATGTCGAGTTGGATATATTAATCAATGTTTGATCCATGTTTTGGAGGGCCTTGTGTCTGAAAACTCGATTTTCAAATAATACCTGTATGTGTAACAAAAATTTAATTTAAATTGTTTTCAATTATATTTATACATGACTCACTGTGAAAGGTATTCAAACACCGATCACAGCTCAACAGTATGAAGTATAGATTATAAAATACTATTTTAGGTATGTACCAATGCGTTGCAGTGAATTTGGTTGGCAGAGTTTGGACAGCGGTACAAATTGATATTATAAATATTTCTCAAACTCCCAAACCACCACAGAATCTCAAATGCAGGCCATACAATTCATCCACCATTTGTCTCAGTTGGAAGTCTCCTATAAATGTTAGCGTGACAGGTTACAGTGTACATTCATTCTATAATGGTAAGTTTTAAACAAAAAGGCTCACTTTTATATTTTGAAATATTAACACACCCGTGGTATAGAAGTAAAACTTTCAGACTTTTAAAGTTTGGAATTGAGTAATTACAAATTATTATGATTGTGAATAAATAACATTTCGTTTTTTAACAAATAAATAAATTACAATAAATTATTTAACTGTACATTTTCCAACTTTTCAAATTTCTGTTTAGTTTAAACTAAAAAATGTATTTTCTAGATAGTGGAACAGAGTCGGTAGGGCCTGATTATGCGATCAATGTAACTTCTATGGATGCTGGTGGTCTAGCACGAAATACGGAGTATACTTTTTATGTTAGATTATATTCGACAGGTGCTAGTGATCCATCTGAAAAAGTTACATGCAGAACTGGTACGTATAAACATTTTTGTATTCAATAATTAAGTTCACATAGTAAATTTCGATAAAAAAAAAGATGTTTAAAAAGCTATCAATCAGTCGAAACAATTCATGATGATTCATATCGACTGAAATAATTGTATTTTTTTAACTTTTAGGTATTAATGGTAATCGAAACTTGCACATAGAGAGATATAATGACAGCTCGGTAATTTTAAAATGGTCAGAAATTAGTACAGATCTTTCTTGTAATGGAGAAAAATATCCCTATAAAGTTCAATGGAAAGCTGACTGGCAAATACAAACTTCTCAGACTAGGAAACGCTCTTTTGTTCTCACTGGTAAAATTTTATTTTGACCCTTTTTAATCATCTATATAAGACAAACGCTCCGACGAACGTTTTGGAACAATAATGTCTCATTAATTTTTTAATGCAAGGAATATACTGTAAGGACGGGTGGGTTGGAACGAATTCATTCAAAATTTCGGGGTTTGTTTTTTTGGAAAAACGCTTAGACCCGTCGATTTTAATTTTTGACTGCTGTTTTTTTTTTATAGTAAACTTATGTATACAGGATGGCTCAAAAATAAGTAACGACCATCAACTTTATTTTGTCAAATAGAAATACCTATTCTTTATTTCATTTTTGAATTTTGCATCAAATTCTAAATATGATTCATGTATCATGTTCTATACCTAAACTCAATAGTTATCGAGAATTAAGATTGAACATAATAATAGACTGTATTCTGAGGATTTTTTTATTTTGGTATAAAAAATTGTAAAAAACAACAAATCAAATTAATATAAATAAAAATTTCCTTGGTTTATTCGGTCATGTTTTTATTTTCTATCGTTTAGCACAGCACTACATATGTTTCGGGATTTCTGTTGTTTTAAAAATGTTTAAACTGTTTGTAATCGTCCCCATGTTTTATTAAATTTTGACTGCACCCGAAGATGGAAATTTTTCCGAAATATATGTAGTGCTGCGCTAAACGATAGAAAATAAAAACAAGACCGAATAAACCAAGGAAATTTTTATTTATATAAAATTCTACTATGGTCAGGAAATTATTCTTATTCAAAAAACCAAATTAAGTGTTCAAATTGTTGACCAATAGACAATAGGCAAGTCAATCTTCAAATTCTCATACCACTTCAGTTAACATTTGTGGCTGGATTTGTTGTATTTCGGCTCTTATTCTAGTCTTCAATATTTTCCGGTTTATTGAAGTAGACTTTGGATATCAGATAACCCCACAGATAAAAATCTAATGGGTTTAGATCTGGAGACCTAGCTGGCCATTCGATAAACTAACTCCTTCCAATCAATTTATTTTGGAAAATATTGTTAAGGTAATCTCGTACTGTTCGCGAATAGTGTGGGGGCGCTCCATCCTGTTGGAACTATATTGAATCTGCCGGTATATTTGGGTTTTAACCATTTAAACTAGGTACTGTGTTATTTTGTAGTAGATCTAAATACTTTTCACAATTAAGTGTTCCTTCAATAAAAAATCTGATGTGTCCAACACATGACTTTCCTATCTAGTTATTATAGGCTTTTTCCGGTTATTTTGTACAACCTATTGCAGCACCTCTATAAATGTTTTGAGGATAAACTAAATATATACATTTTCCACATCCATCTAACTCGAAACATTTTTCTATAGATATTCATTGAAAACGAAAATACTGAAAAATTTAAATTTAGCACTTCGTCCAATTTTTCCATTACGGTCCATTTTAGAAAAATCATGTAATAAACAAAAAGTATAGAGATTAATGTCGCAAATAACTTTCTTAAAAATCAGAATTTTGCACATTTGATCAGTTCACCGCACGCCAGAATAAAGATTAGATATAAAATTTGGTGTTTTTGTTTTTATCCGGTTTTGAGTTTTCTTCAAAATTTACACATTTTTTTAAATATCTCGAATACGGTCCATTTTACAGAAATTATGTATGGAACAATAATTATAGAGACTTATATCGCAAACAACTTTAATTTGAACAATTTTCATAAAAATTTGAATTTTTTACATTTTGTCAAATTTTAGGAAAATTTTGTATAAAACAAAAATTATAGAGAATACTATTAGAAGCAACTTTTATTTGAAGAATTTTCTTCTCCAAACGTAAATAACACATTCCATAAAATATAAAAATGACCCCTTATAAAGTACCCCCCAGATGTTCCGACTCTGTCCAAAATCTAATCAGTTCACTGGAGGCCGGAATAAAGCTTAAGTTTAAAAGTTGGTGTGTCTTTGTATCCGTTCATGAGTTATCGAGGATACACGCACACACGCGCGCACACACAGGCACATACACGCGCGCGCGCACACACACGCACACACACAAGCGCGCCCACACACACGCACACACACAAGCGCGCGCACACACACGCACACACACACCAATACACACACCAACACACATCATCGCGAAAATAGTCAAAACGGATTCAGGGGACCCCAAAACGTAAAAAACCGTCGAAAACTCGGAGGTCGAAAAAAAATGATTCCTATACTTTCCTCATCTGTATACAGATATAAAGGGACCCATAATTGAGATACCCAAAATTCCGGCCCGTACGTTTACTTTCTGAGCGAACTGTGTACGACTTTCCATACTCCAATGTGAGTTTTCTAGTGCCCAATATCGAAAATTTTGTTTGTTTACCGAACCATTTGAACAAAATGTTGCCTCGTGGGGAAAAAAACTGTCTTCCTTGAAAATGGCTGGTTGCCATTGCATCTATCCATCATTATTTCAAAAAAATTCTAATCTTCGGTCAAAATCATCTTCAATAAGTTCCTGAACTAAATGTACTTTGTATGGGTGCCTTTGTTCTGGTGTAAATATTTTAGAACAGAAGATTTACTTATTGACTGTTCTGCAGCTACTTGTCGAGTTAATTTGTGAGAATTTTCTTATAAATCGAGCAAAATATCCAGTTGTTTGTTTTCTGGAACTGGAAGATGGTTTACGAGGCCAAAGTCTGAACTTTTTTTCTCTTACTAACTACCGATCGTTTAATGGACCTTTCCGGGTACTTATTATTAAATTCGCAAACTTTAGCTTGTATTCGAGTCCTGTCGCCATATATCCTACCATCATCAAAATTTCTATTCTCTGCTCCTCAGTTAAACACGTCATTATTTCAAACCTTTTAACTGCACTTGACAATTATTTGAAGTAAAATTATCATACAGTCAACAATAAAAAGTACCAGAATAAAAAAACAAACAAAATAAACTTAAAATTGAATGTTTTGCTCGATCCAAAAAAATCCTCAGAAAAACGGTCTTTTATTATGTTCAATCGTTATTCTCGATAACTGTTCAGTTTAGGTATAGGAATGGTACATAAAACATACTTACAATTCGATGCAAAATTGAAAAATAAAATAATAAATAAGGGTTTTCATTTAAAAAACTGAAGGTGATGGTCGTAACTTATTTTTGGGTAATCCTGTATACGTGACTTTAGTATTAAAAAAACTGCACTCAAAAATAAAAATCGACGTGTCCGAGTGGTTTTTTAAAAAACAAATCCCTGAATTTTAAATGAATTTGTGCCAACCCACGCGTCCTCACTGTATATAAGTTTATAATAATAGCATAGATTTTGAGAAAAGTTCGGATTTTAGATCGGAGGGATATATCTTTTCCTATTTGCAAAATCGTCACGTTAAGTGGGGCGAACAATTCTTAAAAAATGTATAAAGAAGAGTGGTGTAGTAGTTACACATTATTCGAAAGGTCTTTAAATTTTCTAAACAGCGGTATATATTTTTTTAAATTAAGTACGTTATTAAAAAAAATAATATTTTTGGAACGACGGCTGTTTAATATTTACATCATACAAACATTTCACTGGATATTTGATTTGCATTTTTTGCTTCATCTTCATCATTTACTACCATTTTATCTCTTTATACATAAATTCAATGAAAGCATACACGCAACGACATATGCAACAGATACAAAAAATAACCGGTTATTTATAGACCGTCAGATAGTGACAGATTTAGGTGCCCCATTTTCGCATATAAGCCTCGATGTTGAGTAGTATGAAAGGAAATGTATGAGTGGATCTTGGGGGTAACCCATGAAAAATTCGATTTTCCTTAACAGAAATATTTTCCGACCCCTAAATGCACTTATCCATTCGGGTCATTCAAGCCAATATGTTTTTCGGACTAGTGACTATGTAGGTTTTCATATAGGCTTGTGTGGAAAAATCGATTAAAATCTCGTTTTTTCCCTACAAGATTACGCCCTTATTTCAACCCCTTAGCTACTTGCATCATTAAAGCCTTTGGTTTTCTGAAGCCTAGCTCCATTAGTTAATCATTTAGTGAACCCGGCTTGCGTGAAAATATGGGCAAAAAATACCTTTTAATTCCTGTTAAGGAAAATCGAATTTTCCATATGTTATCCTCAGGAGCCAGTTGTAAATTGCCTTTCATTCTACTCAAAATCGATGCTTGTATCTGAAAATGGGGCACCTGAACCTATCACTATCTGACAGTCTATTATACTAAAGAAACCACCCCTCAGTTTTTAATATTTTGTCATATAGTTTTATAATTTTTTATTATGTTTGTTGTTCATATTTCTATACATTTTTATTTCAGAATTGTTCAAAATTATTTTATTAACTTCGCCATTGTAATGGTAGTCACTTATTTTTCATTTTTCATCAATCCCGTTTGTTTGTTACTAATATCAGTTTTGTGATTACTCTAGTCACAGTGATATTCACTTTCATTTAAAAAATGTGAAACTCGATCATTCTTCCGCATTCAATTTGTAGCGGTTGGTCACCCCCTGCTCGAGGGTTGGCGAAACGATTTTGCAAATGGGAAAAAAAGTCCCTCACAGATCTAAAATTGATTGGTCCGTAGAGTTTCTCAAAATTTACGCTATTATTACTAATGGCTAGTTTTTAGCAGGACACCCTGTGTAGTAATAATATTTGAAGGAGTCAATGCAAGAAGTGGTCCTTATCAAAAACCAGATTTCTATCTCTACTAGAATCACGACAAGTAGTTTAATATTGCAAAACAAATTAACAATAAAAGTGTGCATAAAGTGAACATTATTATTACACACAAGTAAAATCACGAAAGGGAAATAGTTTATGCAAATGTAATCAATCACATGTCAATAACATTTAACCAAAGTAATAAAAGTGGATACGTAGAGTTCTTGAATTGACACCTTCAATTATTACCAAACATTTTTTTATTAACCATTCGTTGCGGACATCCCATACTTGACTTTTTAGGCAAGAAATAGAAGTCAAAGCTAGAAATGTTTTTGAATTATCAGTACTGATATTGTGTTCATAAAATCGAACATTTCTATTCAATATAAAAAAAATCTGCTCTTTAGATCGCTGCTATGTGTGAAACATAATAATGTATTTTATGAATTTAAGGATTGGGACCAGGACTAGAATACAACTTTCGGGTTGTCTCTTCTAATAAAGACGACAAAGAAGTAGGAGTTTGGAAATCCTACTTCGTTCCAGATCTGCCGACTAATTCAACCATCAACGATACGGAAAACAACACTGCAAGTGAAGCAGCACCTCGTCCTCCATTACACGTAAATGCGATGGCAGTTTCTCCATTTGTTGTTAAAGTGAATTGGGCTAACGTCGATAAGAGCGCTAAGTTTTTTACGATCTGTTATCGTATCGATCAGGAAAAGAATAGTTGTGAAGATGGAAAATTTGTGAACAGGTAAGATTACAATTCAATTGATGACATTATTTTTGGTAAGAAATTTTTAAATATTTTATGGTATTTTTTTCATTTGTAGCACCACAAATAAAATTCGGATAAAGAAGCTCAAACCTAATACAATGTATGAATTCAAAGTAAGAGCTCATAACTCTGATGGGGCTTCCGGAAATTTTTCAAAGCCGGTGTATGCAGTGACGTTGGCAGATGGTAAGCAATGTATTTAAAGAAAGTTATGAAAACTGAAAATAACTTTGATTAACATTTATTTTTCTACTTATACAGTTTCATTGCATCTGTAGACGAATATCTTGTAACCTTAATAACTAAAAACTATATTGACGATAATTATTTTGACGGGTTAATCACTAATTTGAAATGTTAAAAAATATTCGTACTAAACGTGAACTGTGATTGGTGGATTTTATATTCTAACGTGTGTATGTGTGTGTGCGCGTAGAAAAAAAGGTTTATTTTTAGCTGATTATATGAAACATTTGTTATGTGGTTTTTTTGTAATTTAGATTAAAAAAAATGTAGCCATTAAAATAACATAAAAAAATGAAGAATAAATTAAATTTTAACTTTCAGCTACTATAACTTTTACTTGGGTTAGTGCATTTTTAAGCAAGTTTGAAAGGGTAGGTCATTCTCAACCGTTTTTTCGCCAAGGGATACTTTTAAAAATTTAAAATTTTGATGGCACTGTTACAATATGATAAATTTAAAAGAATTGATTGGGTTAATTAATTGATGTACCTATATTTGTAAAAATAGCATAGGATAATAATTTTCAATGAAATATAATATTATTATTGCTTTGCAAAGTTAACAAAATTTTTATTCAATAATAAATTACAAATTACATTTAATGTGAGATTTAAACTTGGTGTTTTTTGATAACATAATTTTTTCGCCTGCCTTTTGAGTAGGGTAGGGGGAGAACAATATGTCTCATGACCTCTGAAATTCAAAGTAAATTTTCGCATCCATGAATTCTTGGTTTTTTGTCCGCAATCAAATATATGAAAATGTTTTTCCTTTGCGGACATTTTTTATTCATTAGTTTTATCCCATTCATCCTTTTATTCACCCCGGGTTTTCGTGAAAAAAATGTTAAAATAGTTTAATTCAGTGCTCCGCAACCGGTGTGCCGCGGCACACTGGTGTGCCGTAAGCCGACTTGAGGTGTGCCGCTCTTGCAGACAATACGAATCAGATTCGTATTGTAGCGAGACCCGCGAAAAATAAAGCAATCTGACAACAGCGCCGATGGTAAACGTCTATCCGTCTATCGGCGCGGCGCGGCGGCTTGATTCTCGAAGGCGACTAAACTAGAAAGATCCGTGCCGTTCGAGGCGCGACTCGATGTTTTCCTGAACATCGCCACTGCCTATATAAGCGCGCCTGTCGTCGCTCAGAGAGAGTCGAATAGTCAAGTGAATCAGATAAATACGCGGGCAAACAAATAAATCGTAGAGTGAAATAAATAGTGAATTGCTATATAAATAAATTCTTGTGCCTTATAAATAAGTGAACTGGACTAAGTTTTGTTGCAGTATCTACTTTTATAAATAACTATAGTGCTTCAAATATGGATAAATTTTTGCTGAAATCACGAGCAGATGACGAAGAACCTAGCACAAGCTCCAGCATAAGTGCTGCAAAAAGAGCAAAAAAGGTGCTGAAAAGGAAGTACAATCAAGACTACCTTCGATATGGTTTCACTTGGTGTGGCGACGAAGCGGCTCCAAAGCCTGAATGCGTCATTTGCGGTGAACAGTTGTCAAATGAAGCAATGGTACCCAGCAAACTAAACCGTCATTTGATCACAAATCATCCCAGTTGCGTCAAAAAAGACATTCAATTTTTCCAACGGCGCTTGGATCAAAATAAGAAACAAAAGCAGTTTATGAAATCGGCGGTTACGGTTTCTGAAAAGGCATTAGAAGCAAGCTACCTTGTTGCAAAATTAATTGCACAACAAAAAAAACCGCACACTATCGGTGAAACGCTTATTAAACCAGCATGCATGGAAATTGTTAGACTTATGCTTGGGCCAAACGAAGTTAAGGACGTGAGTAAAGTTTCTTTGTCGGCCGATACTGTTAAAAGACGTATCCAAGATATGTCAAGTGATATTTTGGGAACACTAATTAAAAAAATCATTTCGGCTGGAATTTTTGCGCTTCAAATCGACGAATCAACCGATATTAAAAATAAAGCACAACTGATGGCTATTGTACGTTTCGTTGACGAGGACTCTATTAAAGAACATTATTTATTTTGTAAGGAGGTTCCAGAGAGAACTACCGGTGAACAAATTTTCCAAGTAACTGATAATTTTTTTAAAATACATAATATTCAGTGGACCAATTGCGTTGCTATTTGTACAGATGGTGCTGCTGCAATGATGGGCAGTAAGAAAGGTTTTGTATCTTGTGTAAAACAAAAAAATCCGTCAATACAAATTACACATTGCTGCATACATCGAGAAGCATTGATGGTCAAAAATTTGCCCGAACAGCTTTCGATCACAATGAATGAATGTATTAAGATCATAAACATAATTAAATCGAGGGCCTTAAATTCGCGAATCTTTGGAATACTCTGTGAAGAAATGGGAAGCGAACATGAATCCTTACTGTTTTATACAGAAGTTCGTTGGTTATCCCGGGGAAAAGTTTTAGCTCGACTGTTTGAACTTCGCTACGAAGTGCGTGAGTTTCTTTCAAGTCAAGATATGTACGATCTATGCCAGCACCTTCATGATGAATACTGGATAGCCAAACTTGCATACATGGCGGATATATTCGAACATCTGAATGAACTTAATAAAAAAATGCAAGGACGGAATGAAAATATATTGACGTGCTCCGATAAATTACAAGGGTTCAAAAAGAAACTTGAACTTTGGCAGGAACAGTTGCAAAAAGGATGTCTAGAAATGTATCACAGAACCAACCACAGTACGATCGAAAACAAGCAGTTGATTGTGGATTTGGCCCAACAACATTTAAGTATGCTTCAACAAAAATTTGAATACTATTTCCATTCTATCAACATGGAACAATACAATTGGATTCGAAATCCTTTCGCAACCAATGCAATAAGTTCCACGGAAGCACTGCCATTGGAAACTCGAGAGGAGTTCACAGAATTAAGTAATGATATGACCCTAAAACTTAAATTCGACGAAGTTCCGTTAGATGTTTTCTGGATTTCCATCAAGACAGAATATCCACGCATCACCGACAAGGCCATCTTCACACTACTTCCGTTTTCCACAACATATTTATGTGAGCAAAGTTTTTCAACGCTTGTATTAATTAAAAATGATAAACGGTCATGCTTAAAAGATCTTGACCAAGAAATGAGAGTTGCGCTGTCTAAAATTGAGCCGAATATAAAACTTTTGTGTTCAACGAAGCAAGCGCAGGTATCACATTAATCAGTCATCATCATGTCAAAATATTTATTACTATTGACGTGTCAACAGAAGTAAATTTAGTATACCTACCTGTCCTACCTAGTATTTAGTATAGTTCTCATGTATGTACCTATTTGTATTTTTCATTCTATCTGAATAATAAAAAAAAATAAAAAAAAAATATGTATTATGTCCTGAGTGAAAATTTTGATGCCCCAAATCTGAAAGGGGCTTCTTCACATTTTAAAACAATAAAAAAAACTAAGGTAGTTTGGACATCCATAAATAATTAGTATACATGGAGTGAACTGACCCCCGACCTAGCTACGCCACTGCTATAAATATATTTTAGATTTTGGTGTGCCACGAAATTCTAGGGAGCAGTTTGGTGTGCCTCAGATGAGGAAAGGTTGCGGAGCACTGGTTTAATTTATAATGAATACTACTGAATAAAAATTCCCACAAGGACAATACTCTTTGTTGAGAGTCATACAAATATTTTGAGAGCAATTCTATTTTCGACTTATGGTTCCGATTTTACACGTATTTCAAAAATCAGACTTCTTTTCGCCAAGTTGTAGATCCCTTTCGCAAACACAAAAATGCCAGAATTTCGTTGAAGAAATTAGAAATCCCATTTTATTGCCGGTAGCCTTTTCCAGAATTAGCACAACTGAACGACAGAAATATTGTCCTCAACGTATGGAAACATATTTTAATCTGAGAAAAAAGCAAAACTCCATCGACGCGAAACCACAGCTTATACAATACAGCTTATACAATACAGCTAAAACACTCTCTTGGCGGCAACGGTTTGCGTCGATTCCGTCGCGCATCGCTTACTCGGCCTTCGGGCGGAAAAGTTCAGAAGCGTACTTAGGTAAGGTATTGAGCTGTGCGTATAATTTCGTTTATTGCATTATTTCGTTGAGCCTATAATTTCGTTGAGCCTATAATTTCGTTGATTTTGTTTGAGCTCTCTGTTGTGTTAAGTTAAAGGTACTGTTATTATTTTTATGACTCTTGGGGGTCTATTCTGTAACAATTCCTTTATATTTAACGGCCTTTAAAAATATTGGCGGCCTTTAAAAGTATATTTGTATTCGTTAATTTACTTCTGTCATTATTTAAACAGATTTCTTTAAGATAGTCCTCTAATGTATTTTAAAGATCCGTTTAAATAATGACAGAAGTAAAGAAGAATAGTATATTATTAAACGAGCAATTTATGGTAGCCATTATTCACGCAGGGTGACGTTGGGCGCAAGTCACCCGAGTGAATAATGGCCATAAATTGCGAGTCTAATACTATACTTTGTCCACGACCATTATGGTTTCTTTATTAAATAAAAGTTAAGTGTAGAATGGAAAGTTTTTATTAAACATAGGTAACTAACTGTTGTTTTTACTACTTTTCAATTTTTCGATTTTCGATTTTTTGATCTAGAAAATATCGTTATGAAAAGTATCGCCTATCTTTAGTTATCTACCGGAATGTGCAAGAATTACAAAAGCGTGAATTATCATAATTCACTCCGTGATATATGGGTACTATATGCTTTTAGTTAGGAGATAGAATATTGATTTATTATTAAATGGTCGTGGACAAAATATTTTTAAAGGCCATTAAATATAAAGGAATTGTTACAGAATAGATCCCTTTAGGGTCTATTCTGTAACAATTCCTTTATATTTTAACTGCCCTTAAAATATTGGAGGCCTTTAAAAATATTTTCGTATTTACTAAATTACTTTTGTCATTATTTAAACGGATTCCTTTAAAATACATTAGGGCCAATTCCACCATTATGTTAAACGCAGATTAAAATGACATTGTTAATGTAAAAATGTCAATTTAAACTTCGTTTAACACAACGGTGGAATCGGTCCTAAGAGGACTATCTTAAAGAAATCCGTTTAAATAATGTCAGAAGTAAATTAACGAATACGAAAATATGTTTAAAGGCCTCCAATATTTTAACGACCGTTAAAATATAAAGAAATTGTTACAGAATAGACCCCTTTAGCTGTGAGTAGAATAAGTGAAAAAAAGATATCATTCTGTTTGTGCAGTCAAAAGCTGTTTTAATAAGGGTTATACCTACAAGAAAATATTCTTTCGTTTTCCCAAGGACCCAAACCGGAAAGTACCACATTATAAGAAATTTTCATTGTTAATAATATAATTTATACCCATTAGTGTGTAATTGTTCCATATTTCAATTTGTGTTGTAGACACGCAAAAAAGTTTTAAATATAAGTTATATGGATTTGAAAAATACATGTTTTGAAAATATTTTTGGATATACAGGGTGTCGCGTTTTTGCCTAACAAATCAAAATTTATGTTTTTTAAATGGAACACCCTTTATTTTATTTTTAGAATGGTTTGGTAATACTGTATTTAACCGTAGAATATATTAAAAAATATTACAGTGTTGCCAAGCAATTAATTTTTTTTTGAAATTAGAGAATGATGCAGACCCCAAATTAAATTATAATAATTTAGGTAGGTTTACATTGGTTTCAAAATTGTTTAATATACAGACTTATAAGATATTAGGCTAACGAATAGTGGTGATAGAACTGGTTTATTTTATACAGAGTGTTTCGAAACATGTCTTAAACTGACCGTGTAAGGCGCATCTACTCACCAAAAAATGATTTGCAAACACTGTGCATTTAAACCTTCAAAGAATTGATATCCGTAGTAAATTTGACCCTGTTTAAAATAATTTTTCTACGCCCACATAAATATTAGCTAATCTATGCATAGATTAAAAAACGAAAAAGTATGCTATCGTGTTCAACTAAATGTATATATTTCATATCCATTTTAGGTAGTGAAAACACAAAATTAAAAAAAAAATAATTTCAATCAATCTATGTGATACTAATTTAATTACGAGTATTAAAACTAAAATCCTAAAAGTTTCGATTAATTATTTTTAAATTTGTAGATTTTCGTCAGTGGGTCGTAGAAAAAATATACTGTATGGAGTGGATTGTCGATATTCACTCTTGTTGCACAAAACTACTATTTATTTGTTTTCTTGTTTTAATGTTTACATCAGTAAATACATAGGAACTAAATTAATTTACTTTTTAAGTTTTCTTGTATAAATTGATATTACTTTCTCCAAGTACAAATTTAGTACCTACCTAAATAAGGTACTAATTATGTAATTTCGCGTAATATTGTAATTCAAATTTCAGATTACTATCAAGTTTTAAAATTCCCTACTTCGGTACGCACAGATAAAAATTGAATATATTATAATAATAAAAACTAAAAATATTACTTCAAATCTTTATTCCAATGAATAAGAATACATCTAAAAAAAAACAATATTGTTAAAATAAAAGCACAAGTGACCGATTCTTTATAATAACCCAGAATACCATCGAGTTCCCAGACCTCACGGGAAGCATTCATTTATCTAGGTATAAACTCTTTGCACGATGAGTATACCACTTGATTTGCATCCACGGGCGTGACAAAAGTCGTTAATAATTATTGAAGCCCTTAGTGTAAAAAGGATGCAAGCCACAATTTGTCGTGAAGTGACTGTTTTAGCTCAAAACATCTGTTAACAAGAATATTACTAGCCACGTTCAAATTATTTTACCTCTAATCCGAAAGATGTGCTATTTTTCGTAATATTTATATTCAAAAAATTTTTTTATTTATATTTGACAGAATTAAAACATATTTAAAACTTAATTTCTCAAAACTCAAAGGCGCCGACACGGAGTTGTGGAGCTGTTTATTATATAAGCTGTGGCGAAACTTTTCTTTGAATTTCATAGGTCACCACCCGGACACTTGTTCACTCCCTTCCCCACTAAAGTATCGCGGCACATTAGTTGCAAATCACTTACTAGACTGCTAAAATGCACAATCGACTCAAGATATCTTGCATCGAAATTTTTACAAAATTACCTAATGTTTATTGTGTTATCGGTAGATTTGGAACTGTTATTTTTCTTATACCAAGGAATTAATATAATTTATTATTTTTCGTAGTTCCCTCCGCTGTCACAGACTTAAAGTACAAAGTGATTAACGCGAGCACGGTGTATCTACATTGGCACAAACCAAAAGAAATGGGCACCAACAAAATACAGAAATACATTATTTCCTACACTCCTGACATAAATTGGCCGTTGGAAAAATGGCCGAACGCTACAGTTTATGCTAAAGGCGATGGTCTCTTTGAAGAAAGTATGGTATTGGGGAATTTAAATTTCACAACGCACTATAAGATTTTGGTTATGGCGGTATCAGATATTGGTGTTGGTAAGCCTGCAACACTGGATGTGACGACCAAAATTCAAGATGCAGAAGCTGAAATCTCGACCACTGATGTCAAATATAATCAGAAAGTTGGTATGTATTTTTTACAGCAATTATAAATGTTTAACTTCATTGTCCGAATAAGATAAATATTTAATAATAAAAACAATAAAATTTGAGGAAGAATATTTACGTACTTATTACAGAATTACAGTTTAAGGAAACATTTTTACCTTCATAGTGAAAATTATACAGAGTGCTTCATTAGTACATAACAATTATAATTAAAAACCTATTTAACCTTTTCGCACCGTCAACTGGCCCCACAAACAGGGACTTATTGTGCTTGTGCTTCTATAGCATCTCGTGTATATTGCCGAGTGTTTGACTGTGCGATTTGTCATCAGATTTTAACAAAAATTTGTCAATTTTTGCTTCAGTTCATTTTATTGATGTATAAACCCATTTACTAGTGATGGGATTTTTCATGAAAAGTAATTTTTGAACCAGTTCCATGAACATGTAGTCGAACTTTTTGCCATATCGCAGCTTTCTTCCTCAGATAAATAAAGCTTGTTGATCACCTAATAGACATTTGTGTGCTTGCCGTTTTTGAATAGTCCTCATAACTATCGAAAAAAATGCCCCATATATGTCTTCAACTATTTACGCATTTTTGCGCCTTCCAGGGTTAAAGTGTTAAAAAGAAGATGGCTTGTTTGTCTAAATTAAATATTTCTAGCCTAGGAGTACAAAATAAATTGTTTTTCTTAGGTTTTATTTTTTTGATATTATTAGTTCATAAGATATAGCCATTGTAAGTAATTTAAATGGACAGCCTGTATATATTAAAGGTGTAATGGGCAACGAAAAGGGAGAAATTAGTCAAAGGGCTCTTAAAAAAGGATATCAGAATTCTTCTTTGGGGTTGCTAAGACAGTGCTCAGAGTTGTAATTTCAAAAAAACCTATATTAATAAAGATCATATAAGAAAAGGTAGAGGTAACATAGAAGAAAGCATTTGCCACTGCGCAAATTTTGCCAAAACGGAAGGAGTAGGACGGACTTAAATATTTGTATTGTAGTACCTAATTTTGGTAACTGTTAAAGATGAAAAATTATGAGAAATTTGTTAGCATGATTCATTTATGATGAGGGCAATAACACTTTATCAGTATATAGGTAGTAACTAAGTAAAAGTTTATAAAATTATTGTAACAAAATAGCAATTTGTGTATTAATATCAGAAAGTACCATTTTGGCAGTAGAGCCAGAAAGTTGGTACTATGCCAAGGCAGTAAATCTGTTACTTCTCTGCCGTGTGAAACATAATTTGTTTATACAGTGTGTTTAAAAAATGGAGTTAAAATTAAAACCTCTTTTAAGTATAAGAGATACAACTCACTAATTTTTACTTTCCTATCTGTATACAGATATAAGGAAAGTATAGGAATCATGATTTTTTTCGACCTCGAGTTTTCGTGTGTGTGTGTGTGTGTGTGTGTGTGTGTGTGTGTGTGTGTGTGTGTGTGTGTGTGTGTGTGTGTGTGTGTGTGTGTGTGTGTGTGTGTGTGTGTGTGTGTGTGTGTGTGTGTGTGTGTGTGTGTGTGTGTGTGTGTGTGTGTGTGTGTGTGTGTGTGTGTGTGTGTGTGTGTGTGTGTGTGTGTGTGCGTGTGCGTGTGTGTGTGCGTGTGCGTGTGCGTGTGTGTGTGTGTATAACGCATAACTCATGAACCGATACACAGAAAAACACCAAATTTTAAACTTAAGCTTTGTTTCAGCGTCCAATGAGTCGGAACATCTGGGGGGGTACTTTATAGGTGGTCATTTTTATATTTTATGGAATATATGTTATTTACGTTTGGAGAAGAAAATTCTTCAAATAAAAGTTACTTCTAATATAATTATCTATAATTTTTGTTTTATGCAAAATTTTCCTAAAATGGTCCGTATTCGAGAAATTTGAGAAAATGTAAAAAAAATAATTTTTTATAAAATTTGTTCAAATAAAAGTTGTTTGTCATATAATTCTCTATAATTTTTATTCTATACATAATTTCTCTTAAATGGACCGTATTCGAGATATTTGAGAAAATGTGTAAATTTCGAATTTTGAAGAAAACTCAAAAACGGATAAAGAAAAAACATTAAATTTTAAAGTTAAGGTTTATTTCGGCCTGACGTGTAATGATTAGATTTTGGACAAAGTCGGAACATCTGGGGAGGTACTTTATGGGTGACCGTTTTTATATTTTATGGAATATATCTGTTATTTATGTTTGGAGAAGAAAATTGTTCAATTAAAAGTTACTTCTAATATTATTATCTATAATTTTTGTTTTATGTCAAATTTTCCTGAAATGGTCCGTATTCGAGAAATTTGACAAAATGTGCAAAATTCTGATTTTTAAGAAAATTGTTAAACTAAAAGTTGTTTGCGATATTGATCTCTATAATGTTTGTTTTTACATTTCTCGAAAATGAACCGTAATGGAAAAATTGGAGAAAAGTACTAAATTTAAATTTTTCAGTATTTTCGTTTTCAATGAATATCTGTAAAAAAATGTTTCGAGTTAAATGTATGTGGAAAATGTATATATTTAGTTTATTCTCTAAATATTTATAGAGGAGGTATAATAGGTTGTATAAAATAACTGCCTATAAAGCCTATAATAACTAGATAGGAAAGTCATGTGTTGGACACATCAGATTTTTAATATTTATTCTAGTCGTTGTTTTTATAACTATATATCTTCAATTCTTATACAAATATACTTATAGTGACTTTGTAGTTAATTTATTAGAGTAACTTTTTGGCCGGATGCTCATGCAGAGCAAGACTTCAAAAGAGAAAAGAAAGAGAAGTTAATTTTTAATGTCTAGACAGTAAAAGTGTTACTTCTATCATCGAGAAGTGTCACTAAAAGTGAAATTTAATGTCAATCGGAGAAAAGTATTCAGGTTTTAGTACTAGTGAGTACTTTCATCCAGATGAGACGCAGAGTACTCAAAATCTTCCCAGTACTTTACATTTTAGAGTACTCTGTCCTACAGCTGACGAGTAACGAGTACTGACACGCGCATATACCGGGTGTAACCGATGGACTTGACAAGTATTAGAAATTAAAAATTTTAAAAAACCAACTTCAAAAACGTGTAGATGCTATCACCACATCTTAACCAAATTTATATGGGACCACCCCTGAGGTACCCCCTTACTAACAAAAAAGAAGCATATAAATCGGACAAGGTGGTAAAGCATTATCGCTAAACATACATAAAAAGTTAAAAGTTTGAGGATTTTCTCATGGAACCAATTATTAGATTTTGACCAAATTTATATGGGACCACCCCTGAAGTACCCCCTTTCTAATAAAAAAGGAATCATCGAAATCGGACACCTTGTTAAAGAATTATCGCTGAACATACATAAAAAAAAATATTGTGACGAATTGAGAACCTCCTCCTTTTTTGAAGTCGGTTAAAAAGATGACTAAAAACTTTTAGTTTCACCTTTATGAAAAAATGTTAGTCTTCAAAAGTTTTTATTTCAAAAATAATAATAATAATAATCCAAACAGAAGTTGAATTTCTTTGCTTTAGTTAAATAAATTTTTCTAACTTAGAATCTAGTTGATTTTCGAAATTTTCGGTTTGACCCAAGTACTTTAAAATTAATTGTTTTTAATACATTTTTCACTAAAACAAAGTGATATTCAACTTCTGTTTAAATTATTATAAGTTGTGAAACAAGCAAAAACTTTTATGATTAACACTTTTTCGAAAAGGTGAAAATAAAAATGTTTTTCTTACTTTTTTCAGTCCACGTGTATTAATTTCAGTCCACTCTGTATATACGCGTGTATATATTTCAAAATTTTAATTCAGTACTTTGCCCAGCTCTGAGTATCTGTTATTGAACGCTTTCCAAGAGGCTTTGCTAATATCCAAGTGAAAACCACAGAGTTTTAGCATTAGCGGCGAGCAGGAAACGAATAATATTAGTGCGGCCTGTTCATACGGCCCCGTCCAACGTTACATCGCGGTCGTGCCGTATAAACAACATAACAAAACATAATTAAATTGAATTAAAAATAAGAACTTAAATAATTGCAGAGTTCAAACGTTAATAAATACAAACTTAATCGTAATCAACCAAAATAAAAAATTCATGCTACGCATTAAATTTCGAATAAAATTAGCTTTCAAATGAAGTGCCACACTTTACAATAGGTAACAGTTTTGTATCCCGCTAGCGAGCGTTAAAATCAAAAGTAATGCATTGAATAGTCATATTGCCGAATTCTCCTTAAAAATATATTTTCAATGACGGGTCATACTTGGCACTTTCCCTATTTAAATTGCATTGGTTAGAGTAACGGAGTGGAGGGGATTGACGTATGACAGTTAATATGATAAAAAGATGTCCTCCTTTAAACTAAAATCGATCTGTCCGAGCGTTTTGAACACCTACGATATTAATACCCAAAACCTTGTATAGAGTATTAAAGAAAATTAACTTATAAATAATAACCTTTAAACAGAATATAAATTAAATAGATCGATCCCATATTATTATAAAGAAATACTGAATAAATAGTTTTGAAAACTATTAAAACCAGTTGTGACGTTTGAAATGAATAAATTGGTAATGAAATTGATATTTTTGTATTTGATTGTGACTCTTTCCACTTCCTGAAAAAATATTCCCCATAAAACAAGAAATAGTAAAGAGTTTCCAATAAAAACCTTTATCCAATTTGCAACTTGTAATATGTACCAATGACCAAGTCCGGTTCTGTTTATTTTCAAATAAACAAATATTGCCGTCGACAGAATCTCTAAGAATGAAATAACTCACCGAAATAAATGTAAGTTTCCTTTATCGGCGTTTCACTTCGTACTCTTATTATGAATAAAGCTTTTTATAACACATCTTGGCATTTTCAACGCTAATTTCCAAAATTTAAGTCACTAAAATACCAAATTAATTCTCGTTGACACAATAGATTTAAATTAAATGTGGACGACGAACAACACTCTTACATGTGATGTGCTCAACTGTGATTTATTAGTACTTTACAAAGGAAGTCAGGGTATCTGCTTTCTTTTATAATCCTTTCACCTTAATTTATAGTTGTTTCTTGTAATTCTTGAGTCTTTAGGTGCTTGTAGATCAAATAAAACTTGTGTGTGCGTGCGCGCGCGCGAGTGTGTGTGCGCGCATGCGTTCCTGATCAGTGCCTTCTTCAGTAGTTTTTATTAAGCAATTTTTTTCGTTTTCTTTTAATTAAACATTGTACAGAATTTTAATGACACACCCTAATTCTGAACCAAAGAATTCTTATAACGTTAACTTTCATAAAAACAATGTTTTACTGAAGAACACACTGATCAGTGCCCAAAGCTATAAACACACACACACACACACACACACACACACACACACACACACACACGAGTTTTATTTGATCAACTGTGATTCGTTGGTGTGAATAATTTCGAAGTGGGATGATGCGTCTTATGTTCTATTTACGGTTTGTATAATCTAAATTAAGGTATCAAACTAAAAAGTAAATGAGAGAATACGTATTTGTATTATTAAGAGAGTGTATTTAAAGATTTTTGAATTAAACATGTTCTTAAAACCGAGTTTTATTGTCAGTGAAGATCCTAACGATAACATGGCCCCATTTGTCGTAATTTACAAATATACCTATTACCTATATTAATAAAGAATAGCTATGTGTGTCAAGCTGAAAAGTAAAAGGAAGAATAATTATTTTATTATTACGAGAGTGCATTTGAAAGGGTTTGGGATTCCACATACTCTTTTATTGTTGATGAGGACTCTAACGTTAACATAGTTTAATTGCCAAATTTAACCTATATAAAAGTGACTTTGATCGATGGACTGTTTGTATGGTTTACATCAATAACAATTACATAACAATCCAGGAAGGGTATTTAGCTCTTTTTAAATTACTAATTTAATACTCTGTATATAGTTTTACTTTGTTTCTATGATCTCATTCCAGAAATCTGTTGATACCATTGATATAGAATGAAGTAGAGACGACACACTATTTTGCGATGGGGACGCACTTCGAGTGACGGAAAAGTGTAATCAAAATGGCGACTTAAGAGTCGTATTTTGAAAATGTTTTTATATCATTTAAATGAAGCTATTTTAAAAAAAAATGGCATCTACTCTCACCAAACCTGACTAGTTCCACTAGCTCGAGTTTGAATATGACGTAAAAGTGTAATGCAAAGGTCTGGACACTTTTAGCATCGTCTTAGTGTCTTCTCTTTATTCTATCTCAATGGTTGATACTCATCATGGATGTTACGATTCTAAGAGCTAGTTCTAAATAAAAAAATCAATAACACTCAAATAATATTTAAATAAAATTCATAATGAGATTATTCGGCAGAGCAAGGAACATAATTTGATTAATTCGAGTTTCTGTATTGACACACTAATAAACCATTTTACTGCGAATCCGTCTTGCTGGTAGCAAAAATGTAAATTCCCAACTCATCCGAAAATATCTCTTAGATCAAAAATAAATAATTTACAAGTTTTCAAATGAAACTTGCTCTTTACTATCTTAAAGGAGTTACCAATTTTATGAATTATTATTATTGTTTTTTTTTTTTTTAGGTTTTATTGTTGGAACAATAATAGCTCTCTTATGCATAATCTGCTGTATATCATGCATCTTGTTGAGAAGAAAATGCGTTAAAAGAAGAGCTCTGGCAAGATCCAGAATGGCCAGTTCGAATAACTATTATCCGGCTGTCGCACATTATGCCTCCCAAGTGGGAGCTGTGCAGGTTCGTTTGGAGGAAACTTGCGAAGCAGATGAACAAGAAAGTCAATTTTTAGTAACTGACGGAATAGCCACTAATATTCCTTCTGTGCAGACCGATCATATTGATTCCAAGGTAAGAATTCGATTATTCAAATCATCAATTATAGAAAGGAGGTGAATTTTATTAATATTTATATTTTATCATCAAAATTTGCAGGGTGGAGAAGAATTTCCAAATGGACATACAAACGGGACTGCTAAACCTTATATGAATGGACACGTCCATATTACAGAAAATCCACAGGTCAGTTTATATCTTCACTATTTTTATTTTATTATTTATAACGCCCTATATATACTCTTTTAAATTCATGCTTTGAACTTAGAATTTGTGGTTTTTTCAGGGGCATCAGCCCTTGAAAAATTGGGAGACTGCTCTTATATTTTGTACTTCAGATTTAATGAATTTACATCATTATAAAAAAAATGTTCATTTATATCAAACAAAAGACTTCCTTTCCATTAAAACAATGACTAAATTTTAATAAAGAGAACAGTAGCTACTCCTTTAATCAGCCATGATTAATTATATTCCTGAATGTTACTTAAACTTGACAATGTGATCATTATCTGTGTTAATCACAACGACAGCATCTATTATTCTTAAAGGAAAGTGCCATTTATATTAGTGAAAAGTGGGAATTAAATATGATTTATTGCCTACGAAATGGTAGGTTAAACAATAATTTATAATTTCTTGGGGAAATGAAATGTGCCGGAGGGCGAAGTTTCTTTGTTTCTGTGTAAATTATTTGAAGAAACTGGGATGTTGGAATAAATTATTTTTCCGATTCTGCCATTAAGAAACTCCCTTTAAGGACGGGTATGCATCAGATTTCTCGACGAATCTAGGTCAAATATATTTACATCCAGATGGTGCAGGTATCTATTGGCTTATAGAATTTGTGCACACAATTATATAAATATTCAACTGTAAATTTTGACAATACGTATAAGGTATATGAAGATTTCAAACGAAGAAATAAAATAGACCAGAACGTAAAATCGATTGTCGGAATTTTACCAAATAAAACAAATATAATTTCGTAATATGTGGCTGCTAGCTAATAGTTTTATTTTAATAATCTTATTGTACCGTGTGACATTATTAATTTATTTTCTTTAAAAAGCATCGATTTCGCTTCCTAATTTTTTTTAATTTGATTTATATAATACGAGGGGATGACTATAATTGCATGTCAAGAATATTATTAATCCTGTGGTAACAGGGTAAATCTCCTTAAATCAAGTTTTGGCCATATAGTAAAACCTAAGTCTCAAGACACCTCTTTAGAATAAAACAGTTGAAAAATATAACATATTTCAAATTTTGCTTTTTGGTAATCGGGTAAAACTGCTTACGTAACATTTGTTATCTTAAAATACGGATCAATGACTTAAGAAGTTTTATCCTGCGCTCACAGAATTGTGATTTTGAAATGTCGATAGAAATATATTTATTGGTTTGAATTTTCCTGTAGGTACTTAATGCTTCAGGGTAATTTTGACTGTAATTTTGTATAATTTTCAAACCTGCATAATAATTTACAATTTATGTCTATAATATGCTAAATTAGTGACGGCCTAATTTTAGTTCCACTGACCGTAGATTTATAAAAATAGGGGTTATATCAAAGACATTACAACATTGAGACAAAATGTTTAATTCATAAATTCCATACAATTGCGGGCTGTTATTGTTTTAAAATTGTTAGTGAGTGGAAGAGAGAAAGACAGATCTCTTAGGACCGGCTGGCAACGTTGTAAACAGCGTCCATAATATGCTTGCCAGTGGCGTAGAATTTTAAACTTACCAGTATTGTCAGAGTAGTATGTTAAAAAAATACGTAAATAAGTAGGTATATTTTTTAGTAATATAATTATGATTTTTTCATGTAGGTAAATTCAAGTACAAGTAAATTCAAATACAAGAGAATTCAAGTTACCTTCCGATTTTTAATATTTATTGGTTTATAGTTTATTGGCATTTACTATAAATGCCTGGTATGATGTTAACCAAAATTATTTAAAATTTTAAATTAACATTAAGTAGGTAGGGGTATCTAAATAAAACACTGCTAAAAATATATAATTTTTTAATTATTAATTACAAAAAAACATGGTATGGCAAAAAATATCGTAAAAAACTGTAAATTTTTTTAAAATAACGTTTTAAATATATTAAAAACCTTAATTTTATTAACTAAAGTTTCACTTAATTTTTTTATGCTTAGTTATTAGTGTTACTACTTACTGCAATGTTTTTTTGCAGCAGGTGGTGTTCCAAAAACAGTTGAATTAGAACTAAAAACCCATAGATTATATTGTATACATACATACATATAGGTAATAAATAATGTTTAGTTAGAGGTAAACAAAAAATTAATATTTTGTATTTGTACCTGTTGGATAAGTCATCCAAAAATAGTAAGCCACACCGTCTGGGTATTGCATCTTTTCTGATAATTTAGCACCATTTGCACGTACCAAAACATCTTCAGGAAAAAAGTGTTCTGGTTTTTACGAAGGGGCTGATTTTCAAGGATCCCTACTAGAGAAAACCAAAGTTTTCTTTACTCAGGATCTTGCGGAAACCTAAATAGAATATTAAAAAATATGTATAGGTGCCTAATAGGTAAATCATTTTTAAGGTATTCTACATTTTACGTTAAATTTTCTTTGCCACTATTCAATAATTATTTATTGATATAAGAATAATTTACTAATTTATAAAAGGAATATCACTTTAAAAACTGTTTTAGACTACACAAGTTTTTGATACAATTTCTTGTACAATTTAAATTTTATATTATCAAATCTGCAGTAAATTATCTGAAAAATTAGATTGGATAATCATCTTTCTCACAAAAATAGTATTTTATAAATGAATAAATCAATAAGTCACACAGAAACTGTCATAAACTGTCAGAAACACAAAATAGCTGTTTGACCCGATTGGCAACGTTGCGGCTGGTTACGGATTTCATTCATAAAAACAGGTACTAGTTGTAAATTCGTGAACTAAGATATTCAGCGTTGCCGTATTTACCGAGTTCTTTGCAACCCTAATATTTTGTTTAGATTAATATTGATTTTTGATAAAAAATTTAGCTTATATTAAAACTTTAAAGAATAATTTGATTAAAAACATTTTTATTTATATAATATAAAATTATAGTTATAGGATACATCAAATTTTATTTTTCGAAAGGAATTTCTCCAAGTAATTTTTACAAACTGATAAAACCAGCAAAGACGCAATAAACGAGAATCTGGTGGGAATAATGATTTGCCACATAAAAATGTAAACAATTTGGTCTCTTAGTTGTAATGTCTTTGGGTTATATGTATTCATTAACATTGTATTTGGTTAACAGTTAAATACCAGTGGAACCTAAAAATGTCACATTAATATGGCATATAAAACGTTACTTTTAGCCAACTGATGACATCAATTTAGTCACTAGGGATACGGGTATTGTTGAAACCGGTACAAACATATTTAGCTAAAACATTGCATTTAGATAAACAATGGTTGAACAGCTTTTATTTACAGCACCATCTTTATTACAGTATGATAAACTAACTAAGGAAAAATCTATTGATATATCAGTCATTTCTTGTTCAAAATAGCTCTTTTATATTTGACATGGCATTCATTCCAAAGAAAATGACTTATAAATTTAAAATCAACTATTTTCGGAAAATATATAATATTTCTATATACTAAGTGAACCAGATCGTAGGTAAAGTTTGAACTTAGGTCATCTTACTATTTATTTTTCTTATTTGTTTTAAATGGAGGATAAAAATACTGTTAAGTGGCACCTTTGAGATGATAAAATGAGTTATTTTAATTGATTGGTTTTTATTGAATATTTATAAATTTTCAAAAGTAAGAAGACCTGCGTTAAAAACTTTATTTTTAATTTGGCGGAAAATTAGATTTTTAAATACTATATACAGTATACAGGGTGTCCCAAAAAGTTTTATAAATATGGGAATAATATTTATTTAACATTTCCAAAAAACAGTTATTCTTCATAAAAAGTTCTGCATCACTTGAGAATATATAATAGTATTCTGCCCTACTAAGCCAAAAAAAGGCTTTACTATTTTTTAACGCATCAGATGAACTAAGAAAAATAGCAAAAACTCACTGAGAACAGTAAAAAAAATCCTAAAACAAATTTACATATTTCATCTTCACTTGTACTTACTAAAAGGCTTAGAGGTATGTCATTTTTTCTAAGCTAAATGGCTGCATATCCCTATACGATACAAGAACTTCAAAAATAATAGTTAAAAACAAAAAATAATCCAACGATACCTAAATTATTTTTTTCGACTCGAGGGAACGCGAAAATAACTTAGATAATATGAATTTTCTCGAAACTCGCTTCAACTGAGATACCGCTTTTTGGCTTAAGAGGGCAGTATTATATTTTGGAAAATATAAGTGGTATGCAGGGAAAATAAAAATAATGATTTATAATGAAGAATAAAATAATTTTAAATTTTAATACAGAGCAATATATTAATTAAAATGTTATTTTTAAGTGATTTCGATTTACTTTCTTCAATAAATAATCCCAAACCAATGCTAAAGTATGTACTGGAATTTTTTTAATTTTATAAATTGTATGCTTGACTATCTCCCTAGATCAAATATCAGCGAATATTTATCTAGAGAAATAGTCATAGATAAAGAATAAATAGAAATAGTCAATATTTGGTTTAGTGAAATAGTCGTCCCAAATGTAACATGACCTTGATAATATTTTGCAATTTTTGTTGTTGCTAAATTTCTCGAAAATTTTACAATTTGATTCTACATAATTTTGGCATTAATAATAATTTGATTAAATCAGATTATTAATGCTAAAAATTATGTCTTATCAAATTTATATTAAAATATTCTCTTTTAAATATAAATAAAAAGTTCCTTGGTTTTTTCGGTCAAATAGTTTTAATTTTTTTTATAATTTAAGCACTACATATGTTTCAATTTTTTCATCTTTTAGTGCAGTCAATTTATAAAAAGTATGGGGACGAAAATAAACATTTTAAAATAATAGAACCCCATTCACATCGTGTGAAGGTGTATTCGAAAAAAATAATAATTCTCGAGATTTAGATTCAACAGAAATAGCTGACTATTATTAAGGTCTTGGTATATTACCCTTGATTATGGATTTCCAAGTGATGCAAAACATTTTATCCAGAATATTTTTTTGTATAAAACTTTTTGGGACACACTGTATAATATATAGGGACGCAAAGTTTATTTTTGAATTTTATTTGTTTAGTTTAATTCTGCAGATAAAAGGCACAAAAAATATTCATTCGGTTTTCGACCTCTAATGAATTATTAGTTGTCTCGATCATACTACCACATATTGAAATGCTTTAACTTTTTTCAGTACTATGCATTCAACTGCAATGGTCAAAAATCCAAAAATCCTGAGAAATTAGCTTCTCTCCGGTTTGAAGAAGATTCCAACTCCAACGTCAAACCGTCAAAATTCTACGATCTACACAAACTATTCGAGAACTCCAAAAAATTAAAATCTTCAAGCCATCATCGTTGTAATCCACATTTTGGCCAAAATGAAGAGATGCGCAACTCTTGCGACGAAGTACATTCTTCAGAATCGTCGAGAGATGTTTCTCTTAACGGCACCCAAACCACTTGTCTAAATGAGAGTTTGAACATAACCGATAAAAATAGGAGACAGTCTCCCATTTTGGGTCCTAATGGATAACGATTACAATAGTATGAACGTTTAGGAGAATTTTTTAAGTTTGAGAAATTTTAAGACCAATTTTTTCGGTTTCAAGGGCAGTTGACGGAAAAGTTAATATCTCAATAGTATTTATTTTCTTGTTTATATAAATACCAAATTGTAGAAATTTTTATATATATTCGAAAATACTTATGAAATATTATTTAATACAATTAATTTAACTAAAAAATTGGATTTTTATATCCTACTTTTCAAATTAATTTGTTTGGGTGTTTTTTTTTTATATTTCTGATATACTTTTTCCGTAACTACCTTGTTGCCTTTTTTATAACGTAAATCCAAAGTAAGAAAACAGCTTTATGAGAAGAAGTAATAATCGATATGGACTGATTTTTTTATTATGGATATTATCTGAAAATTTTTCTCGGCAATATTCTGGAGTCTTGAATTACAACGAATATTTTGTTTTTTGTATATATAATTATATTGCTCAATATAAAATAACCATATTTTAGTAAATTTATCACTCTTAGAACTGGGCAAACCATATATAATTCAAGCCACAAAATGGTTCATTAAATTTACACATTAAATAAGTGAATATTAGTCATATTTAATTCACATTTGAATTTGACTCGTTGTTTTTACAAAATAGTATATGATAATTTTTTTTAAAAATAGGAATTTTTTAACCTTGTCTGCTTTCTATCGTTAGTGAAAATTTTACCACTGTGAATATTCCTATTAGAAAAATTTTGTGTTCGAAAATATTTGGTAATAATGAATGAAATACTCCTTTTTACGGGTTTCTTTCTTTTATTTGGTTTATGATATTTTATAAATCCTATTATTTTTCATATGTAAATCATAAACCAAAAAAATCTCATGTATTTTAGTATTCACTTTAAATAATGTCCATTTTCTGATGGTCTTAACAAAACTAAAATCTTTCTTATGGGAACAAGCAAATATTTTAAATTAATAATAAGTTCACTTCTTGAATAATGTGTAAAGAAGTTAGCGTGCATAGAAAGGATCAAAATAACATAATAGTTCTTATAAAAATATTTACTAAATCACATAATTTCAAAAATAATGGGTCCTAAAAATTGGACTGCAAAAGTGGTTTTTTTATTTTAAAACAATATTCAATACTATATTGTCTGATTTAAACTAATTTTTTCTTAGAGGAAGTTACACAGGAAATTATCACTCAGAGATGTGACAATGGTACTGCCATAACAATATTTTTTGTATTGTTGTAAGCAGCTACGATGAGGTACAGCAACGCATTTACAACCTTACTGGGCCTATCTGTCAAGCAGTTGATTGGTCACACCAACTGATGTTCATAACACATTGGCTGAGTTGGTGATAACGAAATTGATAACGAAACGCAACTTCATTATAGCTGGCGAGTACAAAACTTCAACTGTCTACCTAAAAGTCATAATCATTGCATTAACTGCAATACATGTAAAAGCGATTGGTTCTATATTAATTCTAAAATATGACATTCAGTGTAATTTACTGAAGGCGATACTAGTTGGAGATTCTAAGGATGTTATCAATTTTATTAGAATCAATTACTCATATTTTCTGATAAAATGAACAAGATGTTGCCAACGAAATTTAACTTACGCCATTTTTATTTTCAAAACAAGCAATATTACTATCTTAAATGCTGTCACGACAACTTTCAAGACAGTCAATGAGACAGACCAACGATTGTTCAAGGAATATCAGCGTTCACTGTTCACACATAACAGTTTACAACTGCTGCATTTGAAAAGTACCTCCTGGAGCGAAGCTGAGTCAGTAAATAAAAGAACAGCTTTACTTAGATTGGTTTTGATTCGATAGTTACCATCAAAATAAGCATAACTTTTAATAGTTTTAATTTATACCATATAAAATAAATCACATTATCTTCATTTTTTTGTGACATTTTTAAAATATATTAATATATTGTTCTTGGTTTTGTAATGGTTTTCAATTAACTTATTTTCTTTCCCTTTGTTATTTGCCACAATGTAACATTTACTTCTAAAGCAATAGATTTGAAAACAGAGTAAATAGATATTACTCAATTTACTCGCTCTGCGTTAAAAGACCACGGATAAGATCCCATAGAGAGGTAGTAGATGTATTAAAAGAACGGAATCGAGTAAAAAGAGCAGAACGAGGTACTTTTCAAACGTAGCATCTTATGTCTGTGACAGTCTAAAGGCCATATTAGTAAAAAGACTTTCCTGACAGTCAGGAATGTCATTTTTTGTCGTTACATTTATAACAATTTAAATGGCATTTTTTTATAGCAAAAATGTACTCTTCCTTGTAATCGATAACATTGTTTTCAAGAAAAAAATGAAATTTATTGAGTATTTCAAAATTTCGTTTCTTATTTTTATACTAATACTCTCCTTATAATTCCTTACGAGTGAAGCTTGTGCGAGAAGGGACGGTTATTATTATTATTATTTGCCGTGGCGACTTACAGATGATTGATGGTGCCATTTGACTTACAGGTTAGGAAAATCCCACCCATCATCATCAAAAGGAACACCCACTGTGATTTTTAATCTGAATGTCATATCAACAGAAATTACATTGCTGCTATTAAATCACCCATCAAATCCTACAACAAATCATGCATCTTAAATAACAGTTCACATGGTTTGGTTTCGCTGAACCACTAAAAGGCCAGTAAATAAATCCGACTACTTGACATATTGGGCTACTGAGACGTTATTTAATAAGTTATTCACTAATATTAATATTTCCAAAATGGTACAAAAAACAATGTTTTATGAACTACCAATGTTATTTTGACCCGTTGCAAACAATCGTGATTTTTTCCACTAATTAAGGAACACCTATAATCAATTAGGTTTAGTCGAGCAAAAATCAAAATTTTTATGAATAAGTTTACAGGAAACTCAAGATTTTTGTATAATTTGAAATACATTTTTACTTACTAAAGAAAAGTACTTTCGATAAAATATTTTTTTCATATTAATAATGTAAATCCAATGTCTTTTAAATTGGGGTACAATGTAGTTTTCTTTCAATTTAAATTGAAAATATACCTAAAAGTATTTCAAATAATATAAAAAAACTCGAATATTTTGCCCAGCTCTAAAAGTGTGTCACACCAATTTATATAATTAAAAAATTCATTGTTTAGATTAAACAAAAACTTCAATTAATAGAACAAGAGTACATGTTAGATATAAGGTTACATAAATTGGTGTGAGAGTAATAATTACGTTTCTCTAGTTAAAAAACCTGGTACCTGAAACTCCTTACATATAGTTAGTTTTAAGATTATTGTACAGTTATATTAACAATTCTGTATTATATACGGACAGTTGGCGTTTCGTTTGATTTTGGCTTCATGGACATCACTCGTTTCGCGAAAAATTATTTTTATCATCCACTATATGGTAAGTTTACGAGTGAATTTTTTTGCCATTTTTAAAGATTTTACTAAATTTTACAAGAATCTTTTACACATATCAAATTTAAGAACATTGAGAAAATTGGACAATTATATTTTTGTATTCGCAACTTTTATAAATATTACTATTTTGTGCTCAATATTACCAAAAAATATGCAGATATATGATTTCATCAATCATCGATTGAAAAAATTTTGAATTACGGCGATATTGGATTTACTGGCACAACTCAATGGGATATTACATTTTTATAATTTTTTTTGACAACCTCTTATTTAGGCCTTTTTTTATTCGTTTTCTCATGTGTTCTTTTCAATTGTTTTTGATATCCAATATTCTGAGTATTTATATAATATTATTTACCATTGGAGGACATTGTTTTTTGTTAATGTGCAAGTCATGTATTTGTTGATACTCTTTGGGCCATTTTACGATTTGGAAAAAAATGCTATGTTATAGGATCCTTATCGCTAACCACGTCATCTACAAATGTGCTTTTTCAGACCTGGGATCATTACTAAAAAAAATAATGCATTACTTTATTGCTAATTTTGTTCCCGTTACTTTTTTGTAAAGGTTTATTCGTTACTTTTTTTACTGTAAAGTGTTTTTGCAAAGTAACTAGAAAAAAAGCTTTACTGTAAAGTAACGTTTCTAATAAACGAGCGTTTTCACTGGTATAGATACTTACAACCAGCTAACCTGCCAGTGAACTATCCCAAGTCCAGTTCCACAGTAGATCTGAGAAGGTCGTGGTGGATAAGGACGAATAATGTCCAACTCTTTTCAAATCTAATCCCAAGTCCAAGATTAATAAGCATTAACACACAACACTATTTTTTTCAATTCTAGTGACTAGTAGCAATTTGAGAGAAAAGTATGTGCTTTTCATGTTGGTTTAAACCATCATCCCATCCGTTCCAGATTTAGTTGATTTCTCTCAATTTTTTGAAACTTTTGATTTTATACGTGCTTCGCAAATTTTTAATTTTTGCCCTAGCATCAGCTACTGCAAAGGCATCAATTTTCATTTTATCAACAGTTTGTTGCAGCGCTGCTAATCACATTTGATTATTGCAATATATGTGTTTTGTAATGACCCATAGATACTTATGTTTCCCAGTTAAAAAACAAAATTGTTCCACGTGTGTTCATTAAATACAATTATCCACTGGCACTGGCTATCGGAAACTTGTTTATATTCGGCATGTATCGAGTTTTGTAGTACGGACAGTAAATATTACTGTAATGGGGGAAGGCTAGTAAGTAGCCTATACAGCTATTTATTTTCCTAGCCAGTCTGCTGGTGTAAGTAAGCCAGTATGCAAGTAATATTGTCTTACAAGTTAGTGGTGGCAGTAACTATTTACTATACCAATGAAAACGCCCCTTTACACATAAGTTACTGAACATTTTTTATTCCTTTAGATTTATTAGAACAAAAAAGGAAAAATGAATATTATATTGTTATTTGTAATCCATACTTAAATTTCCACTTTTATTTCAAATATTCAACAGAAATAGGTATGAAATTGAAGTATTAATTTATAGTACAAAAAAATATAAATATAGGGTAAATTAACAGAGGTGGTGGCTCTGTGGTAACACATCTACCTCTCATTCGAAAGATCGTCGGTTCGTACCCCACTGCCGCCTGACCTGCTATGATTTTTTCAGAGGTTTTCTCCTAGCAGTAGGTAAATGCTAGGTCAGTAACATCCTCTTATATACCTACCACCATTCCTTTCACCCTATCCCGTCAGACCTCCAGAAGAGAGTAGGAAACCCTATTGCGAATGAAATACTTCCCACATTCTTTATCTACCTTTACCACAGAGCCTCAATAGATCCATCTGGGTCGTAGTGGAAGCCACTCATTTTCAACCTATGGGTAATAGAAACTTTCCGACTAATTTTAGATATACTAACAAAAAATGTCAAATTTTAGTGATAACATTAATGTTAAAAATTCGTTTATGTGTGGTACAGTAGGTACATTGTCATTCTTTACAAATTACCCAGCTTATAACACTATTATTATTGGTGCCAAAACTTGAAATTAGAGAGAGACAAATATCGAAAAGAAAAATTTCTCTTTCAACTCCCAAATTAGTATTCTTGAAATTAATTTCACCAAAATTGGTAGAGAATTTTCTCTCATAACTTTATCCTATTTTTATGTAGAGAAAATTGGAATAACGAGAGAATTCAATTCAAAAAAGCATAGTGTGTGTTAAACAAAATCAAAATATGAGCTGTAGTACTTCAGCAGCCAGTATGAGCTTAATGATTATGTGTTCTCTTATCTGTTGCCAGTGAGTTTGATGTCTAGTGGTTATCTACCTGTTCGCTGCCTGTAAAGCAGGGTTTTTTTTATCCCAAATACAGATTCGAGTCCTGTGAATGGTAGTTCTGCAGTGGGGCTTCTTATCTTATTTTTCAATACAGCATATTATTACGTCGAGACGCTTATCTTCGTTCGACGGACTGCGATTCTTATGTAATGTGTCTCTCTCTATTCAACACATAATGTGTCGAATTCGTACATAAGGTCCCTGTTTGGCGAGTTCATTAACCTTTTTATTTCTTTGGTTACCTTTTTGTTCTGGTACCCAGGCCAATTTCGCCTTATTGTGGGTTGTCAGATCTTCAAGTATTCCAAAGCAGTTCCAGACCAGCTTTAATTTGATTCTTTGAACCAAGGACCTTTAAGGCCACTTGACTGCCTGAGAGAATTAATATAGTTTGTTTTTTTGTACTTCCTTCTTATGGTCTCTCTCTTACACACAGCTGGATTATATGTATTTCAGTTTACTACTCAGTGCTCCTCTAATACAAAGACATTCAAGCATCTGTACTCCTGAGGGGGCATTGATGACTGTTTTCTGGTTTACTTTTGACCATCAAACTCAATAGGTAAATCATAGGTCTTGTTATTATCGAATATAGCCAGTGGGCCATTTTCTGTTTGAATCCCCATTTTATTCTCAATGAGAGATATTTTACATTAGTTAGCAAATCTGTATTAATTTTAACCATCCACTTTATCCCCCTCTGGGCTTTCATGTTATTTCAAGAATACCACTTTTTTGGGAAAGTGAAAATCAAGTGAATATATTCCATAGAAAGTTGAAATTGCTTTTTTTTTTCAAACGTACGCACGTTTATTCTTTTTAGTGTCGTCAACAACAGAATAGCGTGCTAGTCCACAAAGTAAAAAACATGCAGCAGTAGCAACAAAAATAGAGAAACCTTAGTTTTAAAGAAGTAACGATTATGAGTTATTTTGTAGGAGTAACACACTTGTTACACATTACTGACAAGTAAAATTTAGTTTCATTACTTTTTTTTGGTTTATTATTGACTTTTTCATAAGTGTTTTACATTTTTCTAGGACATTTTATTTTCCTATTTCCCTGCTATAGAAGTTATCCTCCTTTTCAGGGTGGACTGCCCAGATTACAAAAGTAACCTAGCTAGCTATTTCCTAATGGTGTCGTGTACGCGTCTGGGACCTGTGTGGCAGGTTGTGTTCCCAAAAAATATCGCCAATTTTGCTATTTCCAACCTCATAAATGGACAAGTCCAAGTATAAGTCCAAGTTTCGTTACTCTCAGTACTGGTTTTTATAGTGCAATTTTGTTCTGTCGGCAAATTTAAAATTTGTTTAAAAGAGCCCTGTAATTATTTATATAAAAACTTGGATATGGCAAAATAATTCTCTCGTATAAATGTGACTGTGTGTTTGTGTTTTTGTGAAAAAATGTGCGTAAAACTTACTGTATAATTGTTAAAATATGTTAAATGTTACATAATTGGAAGAACAGTGTTACTTGTTATATATTAGACGTTACCACAGATGTGTATTGGTTAAAAAAAATGATTAATATCCAAAGAATAATCTGTTGTTTGAAGGGAATAAGAAAAACAGTGCGTACAAAATTTTTTAATAAAATGTTATTTATGTCACAGATTAATTAGTATGTGCCTTTTACATTGTACAAAAACAACGATTATTTTTTTATATTTTTCTTGAATATTTTTAGAGTAGTTTCTGTTTTGTATAGTTACCGTTTTTCTGTAGTTAATGCGCAAAAACGGCAGTTTTAATGTCCGATTTTTGTTTCTAAATTTTATGCTTTAATAGAAAAGAAATCGGAAATTTATGATTCTCCGTTTGCCTTAAACTTCTTTGCATACATTTTTGGAACAAAAAATGCTCAAATAATGTTAAATGATACAATTTTGAAATAATACGAAAAATTTAAAGTAACCTCTTTGAGATACAGTATTTTTGTAATTTGAAAGATTTTCTTAGAAATGTGAATTGAACAAGGTTGAAAATACTTAAAAACGCATATTCAGGGTTCAAAGAATAATAATTGTATACCTCATCTAAACATTCCTCCTCAAAAAAGATTTTTCCAGAGTTACCAGCCAGAAAAAAAATCCTCTTTAAAAAAAATGAGAATGATCTTTGTTACACTTTTTATAGAGGAATTTTTACTAGAAGGTTGGCAATTCTGCATTGAAGTATTAAATAGGCCGCTTATTGAACAGTTACCCTCTTTTGCATTTTTTTACCATCTACATTCCAATGCTACGTGTACAAAAATAAAGCAATAGTTTTCATTCATAATTTTACTATTTGTTTTTATTTAATGGAGCAATTTTTTCAAAATGAGTATTTACATTATTTCAATCTAGGTGATTTTTTAACTGAAATTATTTATTTTCAACTATCTCTTACCAGTGAAATTTTTATTAATAATATTTTATAAACCCACCCTATATACAACTTTTAACCTTTTAAGCTTTTATATTTATATTCATCAAATAAATCCAGTGAACAATTTACAAAAAGAAAAAGATTAGTATATTTGCAGAAATTAATTTATACACTCGGTGGTACAAAAAATATATTCTTAATAAATATTTTTGCAAATATATTTATGTTTTCTAGGCAATACTATAAGTTGCTAAATTTAGTATTTCAATTAAAAATCACCCTATAAATAAAGTTTCGTTAGAGTTTGAATCTATTGTCCGATTTTCCTCTTACCTCTCTTCTAAGCTTTATTACAAATTTAGAGATGCTTGCATTTAAAAAGTCAATTGACATTCTGATCAAAAATGATATGCGCAAATTTATAATGAAAATAGATGAAATCAAAATTTTTTTATATAATTTTATAATGCATCTCTATACCATCTTTCTTTAAAGTTATTTAAAATATAAGCATTAAAAATAAAATTAGACAATTAGTCTTTGCTTGTTTTTAAAATATCGTCATCTCCAATATTGATCAACACCGTTTTGTTCAAATACTTAAAACTGTTTATTCAGTTTGAAGAACTACCTCATTATATTTATGTTTTTATATGTAAGTATTGTCCTAATATTATTGTTAGTTATAGTTATTTTGTTATTTTTAATTTATAATTATACCTACGTTTTTTCGTGTCTCAGGGCAT